ATTAAAAAAAATTAATTGTATTTAAAAGTTATTGATTTCGCTAGTTCTTGCTCTCTCAATGCATATTTGGAAGGCCATGTTTCACTCGAAATCACCATTTGTTTCTGATACCACCTCATATTCCAGCAAAGCAAATAAAGTTTGGCTTTAGAAGATCTGATTCCTTTGTTTGCAAGTTCGTGTTAGCTTCAATCTTTTCATCTTCAATGGAAAGCTTGGGCTTGGCATCGTCTCTTGCTAATTGTACTAAGAGGGATTCGTATAGGTTTATGTCTATACTATGTCCCATAACAAGGTAGCGTGTGTTACAAAGTGTTTACCCCCCCCTCCTCGATTATACACACGAGGTCCAAGGATTTTGTTTAATGACATGCTGACACACCCTTAAGAGCTGATTATTGTAAGGATAACCTTTATCCCTTTTGTTTTTTTTGTTTCCATAATAAAAGTAATAAAGAAAATATCTTTTTTCTTTTTTTTTTAAATTACAAGCAATGAGTTTTAAATTATTATACTTCTGGGCTGTCGACAAGTTGTTCGAATTGAAATGCAATTTATTTTTGCTCGGGGTGTTTTCTTCAACTTTCTTCCGCCTTTTGCAGGTTGACCCTCAGTTAATTTTCGTTCTAAATAAAGAAATGACGAATGCACATGGCAGAGATAAAATCTTTTCTCTGCATGTCAGTGCACGATCTTCATAAACTGCAATAGCATCAATGCATGTCTTTCTGATTATTGCGTTCATGATTTGAACAAATAATACACTAGTTATCTAGCACACAGGTACTTGTGGACAGGACAACCCCCCCCCCCCTTCCGATATTCAGCCCCGGGGCTTATTGGACATATTATTCAAAAATTATATCTATTACTATGGTGGCATATTTATGCCCCGTACATGCAAGATAATTATTATGTTAGCATGCAACACAATTATGTAAACGTGCAACATATTTATGTCAACATGCAACACAATTATGTAGACAAGCAAGCTACAAATCTTATAAGAAAATATAATTTAAATATGGGTAAATTCACATACTCACGCCTGTATCTGACATTTTAGATGCAATATGCAACATAATCATGTAGACATGCGACTTTTTTGAATATGCAAGATAATTATGTCAACATGCGACTTATTTATGTCAACATGCAAGATAACTATGTCAACATACGACTTATTTATGTCAACATGCAAGATGATAACTTGCATATCAACTTACATATCTTGCATGTTAACATAATTATCTTGCACATTGACATAAATAAGTTGCATGTCTACATAATTAACTCGCATGTTGACATAAATATCTTGCATGTCAACATAATTATCTCGCATGTTAACATAAGTACATCGCATCTTCTCATAATTATATTGCATCTTGCATCTACGATGTCAGATACGGGCGTCAGCACGGGTTTTACCCATATTTAAATCAGATTCCCTTAAAAGATTTGTAACTTGCATGTCAACATAATTATCTTGCATGTATACATAATTTTCTTGCATGTATACATAATTTTCTTGCATGTTGATATAATTTTCTTGCATGTTAACATAATTTACCTTGCATATAGGGGGCAGAAATATGCCACCATATATTACACTTATTCATCATGTGTACAATATGAAAAAATTGTCAAAACCCCAAAACAATCGCTCCACAAAAAAATATCCCATTATAAGGGATAATGTATAGTAGGGTATTTTTTTGCGTCCAGCGATTGTTTCGGGGTTTTGAGGATTTTTTCATATTGTACACGTGATGAATAAGTGTAATAAATATAATTTAAAAAAAAATTCTAATAAGCCCCGGGGTTGAATGTCGGGGGGGGGGGGAGGGGGGGAGTAGGGGTCCTTTCCACAAGTACCTGTGATCTAGCACACAAATACATGTAGAACATCTATACCGAGACCATTACACACCCTTTATTATGACGTTTTCCATTTTTTGTTCTAAACTAAGGATTATTATTTCATTGTGTAAGAAATCTACATTTACGAAGTCTATATGTATTAATAAAAGATATAAACGGCACTTGTTCATTTCTAAAACCAATCAAAAGTTCTTTGTGCTATATAGGGATTTGTTATAAATGCTAGAAATAATAGTATTTATGATTAATGAATTGGTTTAAATATCAATTTATTGACCACCATTTACATATAATCAATTGAATTAACTAATTTTATTATATCAAAAAATTATTGCTTTTTGCTTTTGCTTTAGACAGTGCCCCGTTTCAGAACGGAGTTATCCTATCTATAATAATATCATATATGTTTGAGGAGCCCATTCTCATTTTGAACGATTGAAAATACTATACTGTAGTACATGTATGTACATTTAAAATATATACATTTTTTTATAGTTACATGAAGTATGATTTTTTAAAAACAATATTATTATCCGTATGCCTTGAATATCAATCACGTAATTTATTCACTCTCTGATTTTTTTAATTAAAGGCGATTTAAGTAGCTTGAACTTTGGTTTGCGCAATGTACGAATCATGGTCATCTGGTGTACGAACCTAGGTACATTTAATTTTCAGACTTCGAGGAAGATTTCACAACAAAATATAGAAAATAGCTTATACAATTTTTGACTAATAGGAATGATTTATCACTTAGAAAGGCAAAAGAAATAAATCATACAGGTTTAATAAAGTAGAGTCTCATTCATTTGAATTTACTTGCAAGTGTTTGTTTACTTTTCATTTAAACTGCTGACGTAAAAGAAACTACACATGCCCTAAAATCGTAGCGCCACCACCAAGTATTGAGTCACGTGATAAACACGGGGTCTTGACTAAATAAAAAATCCGATCGTTAAGATTGATATATTTCCGTATCATGCTAAAACAGATTTATTTAACTGAAAAAAATAACAGTAAAGTTGTCCGAACCTAGGTCAATTTTTCTATCTGTCCGAACCATGGTCAGTTTGCCCTACTGCTTTTCTCTATCGCCATGTGTGTTATCTATTTATTTGATGTCCTATGACCTACCAATGAACCACTGACTGTCACTCTAAAAAAAATTACCGATTCTTGATAACAAAGCTTAGATTTAACTCTAATTTCTTATACTCATCACAGTCATAAACAAACATAATAATTGACATGAAAGTTTATATTTGCGATAGTCATACACATAGTAAGTTGAAAGTTGTACTTGTCTGTAAGTGAAAGTTGTACTTGTCTGTAAATCAATCTAATTTTGGAAAAAGAACTGTCGATAAATCGGCATTTTTTTACGGATAAATTATGTTTTAAGACTGAAGCCATCATATTTATTCCAGTAGTCAGACGTGTCTATAGGTGCCTCAGTTAACATTTTCTTACTTGTGTGATATGAGTGTCCATCCACTTACATGACTGTACATAATCAATATTATACACCTTTCTAATTGATCCTTTAAAGTTTGTATAAAAGACAAAGACAAATATGGTGGTTCATGATCATAGCATTTTTACACGCGTTGACATTTTATTTTATTTTTATGAGCACGCTCGTTACCGCAAAATATTTTCATTGGAAATTATTTGTCGAACAGTTTTAATTATTTTTCTGTTTCAATATTTTGCGGTAACGACTGTGCTCTATGTGAAATTCACAATTTATTATGTAAAATCTGAGCAATTTTCCGGAAAACCTCGAAACATGCTCCGTTTTAGAATTTAGTTTGACATTGTAACATCCGGTTTTGACGAAATTGTTGCACATGTGAAATGTGTCAATGTTCTAGGTTGATAATAACTCAAAACATATTTACTAATGCCCTTTTCAAAATTTACTTATTTGAAAGGCCAAATAAGGCATTTTGTGGATTGAATTCTTTGGAATATTGAGAAGTTTTGAAAAATAAAGGTCCATGTTACATGACGCAAAGGACTCTTAAATGTCTTACAATACTAACAATGAAATGTTTCCTGTCAGAATATATTATCGTTCTTTCAATGCTCCATTGTGAGACAATATGACCTTGAAGAGGTACTATACTATTCCTGTGCCCGGTGCTTTCGCTTTGGGTAACATTCCACATGCACCATCCGTCACGGCGCTGACGTGACGCGTGCTTCCTCCTTGCTCATGCTTTTTAGACACAATGTTAATGAACTAAAAAATAAAATCATTAAAACAATATAATGGGAAAATCGTTGATTTCAAAGCGTAATATAATAATATTGAATATAATAAAAATTCAATCTGACATACTACAGTCGTTCAGAAACAAAGATTTGATGTTACAATATCAATGTGAAATTTTACTTTAAACAATTCATTTATGCTTCTGTTCCTTCAAATATTTAAAATATTTAAAAACTACTTTTTTAACCTTACTAAGTTTAGCTGGATATGCGTATCCAGAATAGGCAGAAAACACCACAGTGTCTGTTGTACGGAAGACAAGCAAGGTTACCTCTAATCAAAGAGATTGTATTTAAAATCTGTTTCTTTAAATTCTTATATCCAAAAGATGTTCCTTATCCAAAGTGTTTACAGAGACGAATTTCTGTCATTAGGCGGGAAGTCGTACACAAATATATTCGACCAAAGCAATCCAGAGAAAGTACAGATGGAAAAATTTTGCAAATTAATGTTATGTATATTTGTCTAGCGTTTTAAAAGTATACTATACTAATTGTCTAACTCAAAAACATTTCAATTAGAAAAAAAAAATCATTTACGTTATATTAGATAGTGAAAAAAATTAACTTCATTGGCACAGAAACACAAAATATTTCTACCAAATAACAAATATATCGGTTAATGAATTCGACAAAAAATGTTATACGTAAAATTGGTTTTTTTGCATTAAATTATTTTGAGGAATTGTAATTAAATTAAACCATCTCTCCCTTGATTGATATGCAGTAATAGGAATCCTCTTTTGTGTCTACCGCGGCTTCCTGTGGCATACATCACACCCGTGGAGAGAGGCACCGGGATACTTGTTGGAGCTAATCAATATCACATTTTGTTTTTTTAGAATCAGAAAAGGAGGAGTTCCCGCCGGAATTTCTTCGTCAATGACTTCGTACCAGTCATTTAGATGATAGAGCAGAAAGAGAATAAATCTCTCCAGGAAGAATGGATGACAGCAACAATCAAACAACGCTAGAGAGTATCTATCCAGAAAGTGTGTCCGCGGAAATTTTAATCACGAGGAAGGTGTCAAATTATTCGTACTCTGCGGGGTATGTGTCGCATGGCATGCCTTTGAAGTTTACCGGAAACGAATCCCATTCGGAAAATCTTGGAAGTGATTCAATTTCCCCGGAAACAGTTGTTGGACTTTCTCTCCTATTTTTTGTGATAAGTGTGATAGGAATCTGTGGAAACTCGTTCGTGGTTTGTGCGGTAGTATGTAATAAAAAGATGAGAACTTCCATGACAAATTTACTCATAACCAATCTGGCCTTTGCAGACCTTCTTATCATGGTATTTGGAATTCCTGAAACAATTCTTTTTATGTTAGAACAGGGTTGGTTATTTAACCGCACAGCTTGTAAAGTAAACCGTTACATCATGGTGACGTCATTGTATGGATCTGTACTCACACTCATAGCTTTATGCGTAGAAAGGTGAGAGTTAAGAGTTTAAAAAATATTATAATTATTGACATATAGAAGGATTTCAAAAAAGTTGTGTTTAAATTTGTTTGAGGGAGTTATTTTATGAGTCTTGGTTTCGACAGTTTTACCCATTTCAATTAAATTACCTTACGAAACATGTCACACGTTAACCTCACAATGAACATTTCAGTAAATTCACAATAAATCATTGTAAATTCAAGTGCAAAGTAGCTAGGTGCAATATAACAATGATAAAAGAATGCGTTGTAGCCGTAAAGAAAGAGTGTTTTCATTGAGTTGATTCTCTGATAATTGCTACAAAACATTCAACGATCCATACGCATAAATATCGCCATTACACACATATATATATATATCACCCAATTGTGTCTCTTCTGTGACTTCTTATAGAAACGATAAAGGTAAATATAACGAAAAGTGATCGATAGTTTAAGGAGGGATTCTTTTTATTGACTACATGTATGTCTTGTATATTTAGATGTAACATATTTTAAATTTTCTTTCCTCATCATAATTGAACAACTTCGAATAGAAATGAAAAATTAAGTTGGAAATCTAACAGAAACTATATCTTTTGCTGACCGATGGCGTATGAAAATATATCTTTTTCTGCGTTCAAAATAACCACAATTTAGTTAAAATTTTTAAAGAAAGACATAAAGAAATTATCAAATGTACGTGAAATCAATAAGAATAGACTTAATGCATTATATAAATATGATTTTTCAAATAAACAACAATTTTGTTTGCTTTTAAAAGCTTCCAATCCAAGTACAGATTTGAGCAAATATTCTGTAAAACGATTTTTTCTCTCTTTGTAAAGAGACAAAACTTTTTTGCTTTATTAGCAGTTTGTATATTTATATGACTACAGTTCCATATGAAAAATAAGAAAAAAATCAATATACCGAAGCATATAAATGTAACCAAAATATCCTAAAAAATTAAGTAAAATTGTGGAAATTGCCGATATCCATTTTTAGTTTATTTATCTTAATTTGGTAGTTTCCTCTAATATACCCAGTAAGATAATACTTTTAAAGCAAAAATAAAAAAAAAACAACTGAGCTTTTGAAATTTAAGTAGTCATTGCATGATTGGAAAGAGTTTTTTTTAATGTCAAAGAAAAAGATGACCTTGATCTGACCTTGCTTTTAATGGTATGATTTGTCAGTAAACACGAACCAACCAAAGATTTAATTATAAGTTTGCAATTAAAAAAATCATTTTTGTCTATCAAAAATTGGAGATATATTGCTTTTGCACTAGTACCGTCATTATTAAGTTTAGAATATCGTTTTTTGCACTAGTATCGTCATTATTAAGTTTAGAACATCCACCTTTTTGTCTTTACAATCTCTCGAGATAGTGGAAGCGTCTATATAATTATAAACACTGTCTAGAGATAGTGGAAACAACTAGTAGACAATTAAGACTTTCTCTCTGTCAGTCTATTTCTGACATAAACGTTCGCACTAACTTCAAAACTTCAGAAATTAGAGATTCTTACGTTGGGGAATTTAAGATACATAAGGCAATTTTTTACTGTTTTCGTTGACTACTTTTCTGAATAAATAAACGATATAGAAGTCTTAAAATAAATCCAGAACGGTATTTTTGGACTCTTTGGACAAGTATTTGCCTACGATTAGTAATTCTACTTAAATTTGTACATGTATGAAAATCATGTCAACATTCGTAATTTTACAAAAACAAATACAATCTGTCGTTAGGCGAAATTTTAACTGTCTTTGTTCTCATAATGAATTTTCTACTTCCTCCTCCATTAGCCCAATCATGAAAGGGGTATCGCGGCAAATATAACCAGTCGATAGGGGCTGTTTACTCCTCTGTATCACCTTATCCACCTTTTGATAGTTTTATAGCCCTTTTTCTGTAAACAATTATTTTATTTGATTTTTTAGCAAGAATTCTGTTCTTTAGGTTTTCCTCATTTTTTTTATCACATAGGGTAAAAGTTTGCTTCGAATACAGCATTAGCTGGAACATTTAAGCTCTGAAATTTGTATACATCGAACATTGACTTAGCTTGAAAGTTATTGCACCTGGAGATGCTTGTCAGTATGAATGCTTCTGATGTTGCATGAAGTAGTCACTTATATCACATTTATTTATTTGTTTTATAAAACTGGTATCTACTGTTGGTCTGTGTGAATTAGTTGCTGATTGATTTGTAGATTCCCATTGTTGAGAAGTTAAGCTTCATTCAGTTTCTAAGATTAAATTTCAGTCAAGTTTTTCCTATGATATGAATAATTGAACCAAAAAATTCTATTGGCAATACAAAATCTATCGAAAAGGAAATTGAAATTCAAGCATTAGTGAACTAAATCAGTCGGTACAAATAGTTTCATTTATCCAATATTTTTGAGATGCAACAAATTTGGCTATGAACTAAATTCTTGCTTTCCCAGTTATGTGAAGGACAAATTCCATTGACCCAATTACACGCTGAATTATCGACGGATTTTTCTAGTTATTTCCCGATGATGACAAAGAGTACCCGTTTGGTGTGACCGGTAGGCAGGGGATGCTCACACTTCCATGGCACCTGATCCCAGCTCTCATGTTTAAGAGCTCCTTTTTGCTCTGCTCTTAAATTTGTATTGTTTAATGAACGTTTGAACTTGCAAGAATACTGTTCGTTATCTCCAAATATAACATTGCAATGCACCATATCATTGAATTTATCTAAATTTTTAAAAATGAAAACAGTAGTTTTGTTTTAAAGGTCAAGATACAGAGGTGCTGTCTGATATTGTCGATTTGATTAAAAACTTTGAAGTTTTTTTGAGATCTTTATATGGTTTACCGTCGGCAGAGACATTTTACTTTGATAAACCACATGTGGACTTTCAATACATTCTGACAAAAGCTGCATTTGTTTACATTCTTAAAATTTTATACGAGGTGTGCATATATGATTTAATAAAGCACTGTCTCACATTTTATTTTAATTTTGCATTTCTCATTGAAGTTGTAAAAATTAGCTAGAAATGTATGCAGTTGATACGTTCAACCATAGGTGACATTACCTATATTAAGTATTTGTGTGGCTTTTGTCAGGGGATCTGGATCCTTAGCAAGAAGAATCCGGTGATCTGAGTTCGCCAACATTTCCATCATTTTATCCTCGGGACTGTGTCATTAGGTGTAATTTTGTAGGCATCAAATGTGAGCCCCTTTAGTGTTAGAAAAGATTAATCGATTATCTCATAATTTACAAAAAAATATATACATATTCTTCTTTGAGAGATGATTTATATCATAGAAGAATCGACCAATGAATCGGTATTTTCTTCACTTGCAGTTTAAAAAACGTAGCTTTGAGTTACAAATTCGATTAAAACAAAATTATAGAAGCAGTCAATTAAAAAATACACAAGTCCATGAAACATAGAGGTAACGAATAGTAATTAAGCTCATAATTTCATACAAGCAATGCAAATCAGGAGCCGAGCAAACACGGGCCTCTAAAACATCAAAAGTGGTACCAGGTGCCATAGAGGAATAAACATCCCGTCTGACCTCTCACACCCGCTATGCATACAACTGTTTCATCTTTTTCATCTTATCTTTTTTTTTTGAATTACAAATTTATCATTATTAAAGCAAATGAAACGTGTATATTTTTATTTTCCTTTATTACACACCAACTTCGGAAGAATACAGATTGTAAGAATTTCTAAATGTCACATGAACTATATTTCGCTAAAAAGGTGAAAAAAATCTGGAATATGCTCCTTTTTTCCTTTTGCATAACATTTTAAAAGCATACTAATGTTTTATCTGATATTCATACTTCATAACAAAATATTTTTAGATAGTGATAAAGGAAATGCATTGTTAATATTCTTTGCAGTATCCTTCCCAAGTATATTAAACTGCCATTTCTAAAGGTTATTTTGCCTCTCACAAGATAAGGGCTTTTTGTTGGAGAAATCCGCAGACGTGCCTGATTTCTAAAATTCTTAATTTAATCATCAGTTTTGCAATTAACAATTGTCAATTCCAGACTGTGGTCCTCGGGGTTTAACAGGAGTGTTCTTAAAATGTACCAATAGTTATGTAAAATGGCTCGTGGAAACAGTTCAGTGTACTCCTTAGGTCGATTGTCATTAATCTTGATTTAAAAAAAAAAGGAAACATAACACTTCTGTACCCTATAGCATATATACCAAAAACACTCGAATTATCTTTCATAAGCAATTAATAAGCAATAATACAAAGTACATACTTCAAAATAAACGTGCAACTCAATCCACCCCACATGAATAGTCTATGCAATGAATTCATCAGTGTCAGATGCTAGCAATACCCACGTACTCAGTCAAATCCATACTTACATATGATAATTCTATTAAAGAAGAACAATATGCATAACCTAAGAAAGGAAGGTATATTAATCGGTACCTTCTAAAATTCAATAAATGAAACATCTGGTGATAATGAACAGTATTCAAGATCCAACGTCCATAAAACAATACAAAATAGGAGCAGAGCAATCACATACCTCCAAAACATCAGAGGTGGGATACAGTGCCATTTAGGAGTGAGCATCCCCTGCTGACAGGTAACACATGCCGTGTGGTCCTTGCCATAATTGGGAAATAACGGAAAAATCCGTCGTCAATTCAGTGTATAAACTAGAGAAACTGTGTCACTTAGTGATACTCCCCGCCTCCCATATGAATATAAGGACATTGTCCATGTTTTGCCATGGGAAATCCAAAATATGTGTCGGATCAAAAAGTAAAATAGGAGATGCACAATGGCAATATGTAACAAAGATTCTGTAAAATTTCATCAAATTTTATTAAGTGGTATGAGAGGAGTTGCGGATAAGAGATGGGTATCCCAAAGCATAACAGACAGACGGACGTGCACAGGCGCGGATCCAGAAGTTATTTCTGGGGGGGGGGCACCCAAGTCCAAAAAAAAATCCAACCCAGAAATTTCTTGACAATCAATAAAAAAAAAAAGATAAATAAATAAAAACATAAACTCGTCCATACTTCAAAAACCTATTTCTGGAAGGGGGGGGGGGGTAGTTGATGACTTCTAATGCATCAAACCTTTGATTTTTCAAACCAATTTAACACAAATTCGCGTTTGCCAAGGGGGTTTGTGTTTTTTGAGGGGGGTCCAAGATAACTTCTTTCTTGCTTTAGTATATAAATTTAATAACCTTGCAAAGTCCGGGGGGGGGGGGATCCTGACCCCCCTCCCCCTCTAGATCCGCGCATGGTACAGACGGACGGACATACCGATTACAATATACCCTCCTGCTTATCGAATCAACTTAGATATATTAACTCCGTATGCAGGCGATGAAGGTATGTTGCTGCATAAGTAAGGGAAGTTGACGATTGTAAAGTTAAATTCATCACGTTTATCACAGAGCTTGGTTGTTAAATTACCATTAACGTCTTCTTTTCAGTCTCGTTTAAAGTCATAATTTCGTAAGTTCTATGGTCGATACAATGACCTTGTCAGCAAATACAATTTATCATTGAGTCAAATGCTGACTGACAATTTTCATACTAATTGTTAGTCCATTATTTATACACTGAATTGACGACGGATTTTCCCGTTATTTCCCGATCATGACAGGGAGCACACGGCGGGTGTGACCGGTAGGCATGGGAATGCTCACTTCTCCATAGCACCTGATACCACATCTGAAGTTTGGAGGTCCGTGTTTGCTCTACTCCTATTTTGTATTGTTGTATGAACTTTTGATATGGAATACTGTTCGTTATCTCCATATGTTTCATTTCAATTAATATATCCAAATATGAAACAGATGTGTCACACTCTGTGGTATCTTTTCTCTCAAGCTCACATGGATCTATCATATCGACACAAGAATGGAAGTTACCATTTTTAATTGACAATACGTCGTCGATGTATCTAAATTTCGAGTTGAAGACGAAAGCAAGTGTTTTCTTCTTTTCACGCATAAGATTTTGAACAAATTCTGCTTCATATGAATACAAAAATAAGTCTGCTAATAACTGGGTGCCTTTTAATCTGTACTTTTATGTAAGATTTAAAAAAGATATATAAATCATGTATATGATATGCTGCTTATCAGAATGTTTATTACGGGACATTTTTATTCAAATTCATCCAAATGCAATACATTTTTTCATTTTTCATATACATGTAATATATTTATGTGTGTATCTGATTGACTGTTTTCCATTCCGGGTCGACATTTCAATGGAAGTAACTAAAGTTAATAGATGATAAAATCATTTGAGGATTTGAACCTTTCGTCGGGGCTTGGAATCCCACTAGATGAATTATTGCTACTCCATGCTCAAAGGAGTGCCCTAAGTACTGAACCCAGTGCTTTAGGCACTAAATTTGAGCAATTGGGAATCTATTTGTAGCCCTACTCTGAGGCAAGTGATGGCATAACTTTCTCGAAAGAACGTTTCATCATTATGTTGAATCAAACATTATATCAGACAATGCACTTTGCCATTACACTTATGATAATTTCAAAAATTAAAAAGTTATAAAATATCAAATTTAAGTCTCAGTGTCATAAAGATCCAAACACATAAAGTAGGGTCTTCCTTACCGTGTATGTAACTCTACCATTACGATTAACAAGTTGAAAACTAATGTCTGTTCCGATTTTTTTATTCCAGATACGTGGCAATCATTCATCCCATCAAGGCCCACATCGTGTGTAACAAAAGAAGAATCGTGTTTATATTGGGTTGTATTTGGCCGTGTGCCTGTCTGGCGGGTCTACCCACCCTTATGTTTAATGAAGTAATCCAGGGCGATCCTAGGATACCTATTGTTTACTGTATGATAATCTTTCCGGACAATCACATGTTTTATTTTGTATTGTTTAAATATATAGAATCTGTTTTATTTTACTTCTTGCCACTAGTGATCCAAGTGACGTTGTACATCTTTGTGACGAAACACTTATTTGTTGGATCGGAGAGACTCCATCGACGCGTGACGATACGTCTGGTGAATGGTTCTTCACTTGAGCGATTTTCAGAAGCTCTACAAGCGAGAAGAGGTGTTGTCAAAATGTTGATATCAAGTGTTGTCGTGTATTTTCTGAGTTATCTCCCTCACCAAGTTCTCCTGATTTCCAACACTATCTCGCCACAGACCTTTCATCATAACTTCGCATATCAGGTCTTCGTTATGATAATCGCTAACGTCAACTCAGCTGCAAACCCGGTTCTTTATTCTATTTTTAGTCAGAATTTTAGGCAGTGTTTTAAATTTATAATCTGTAGATGTTGCCAGAATAATCACCATCAGGTCAAACCGAGGCGACAACCGACCCTGACCTCTAACACATCACGTGTTTGGCGACAAGCAAGTTACGTCTCCGCTACCACGGAAATGTAAATTTACAATTTGTAAGCGTTTTAAAGGTTTATGTCTTCGTTATTTTAAAATCAATTTATGAGTTTTTAATGATTTTTTTTATTTAAAATAAAATATGTGTTTACAATAAATAATTTTTACGAAATTTACTTTTGTTTCTTCGTTTGGACTTATTTTAAATTTGTTTTGGTATGACATATTACCAAGACTGTTCGATTACCAGCATTGCAAAAATCACTTAACACGAACTTACAACACTGTTGTTTAGGTTTTGCTTCCTTACATTTCTACTCTGACAAATTTTTCCTATGGTTTTGATATCTTTGTTGATATACCAGAGACATCCAACTTTTACTAATTATTAAGGTATACCTTTACTCAGAGACTAAAGATTCCATTGATAAAAACGAAAAAAACATATTGCACATTGTGCACGTATAATTCTTGTGTTAAATTTCAGTTTCAAAAAACGAGGTCAATGACCTTCTTTTCATACTAGTGACCCCTGAGTATTTCTCGGAAAATACTTGAATTTTTCACACTATGACCATTTTTTCTTATTCACAAAATATTATAAGCAACACAACTCTTTAAATAATGAAATATTATAGCAACGGAACAGCGTTGCTTCATATAAAGAAACAATTAGAGTCTGGGTCATACACTTAATAATTATTACAGTCCGAATTTCCTCTGTCATATTTATATTTTTTTCCATTTCTAATCGAATTTAATAAATCTGAATGATAAGAACTCTAAATTATTTAAAGCCTCAGGTTACGTTTGTTGCCCTAATTCTCATGGTATTAATAGTATTAGTATATGGGGTCAATGAACAAATTATTGAGATATGTTGTCTGAAATGGTTTTGTTCATAATTTTGAATTTCTTTAATTATTTCTAAGCATTCAATTATTTGAAATAATTTATGAGCTTTAACACATATAACATTTGCAAAATGATGTTTGAAAATACATGTAACCTTTACATTGTAATTAATTTTGCAAGAAATAATAAATTTTGACAAAAATGAAAAATGCAAAAATTTTTGTCCGAATTTCCTTTGCATTACCATACATCAATTTTTGTTCCTGTTTATTTTCTTCGAATTATAAAATATCATTTTTTAAATTTTGAGTTAAAACTTGGTTATTTTATCCATTTAGAACAATTTTTGATTTAACATATTACACTTTACAAAATTTTCTGTCTGTTATCTGAAACCTGAGTATACGTCATCCTTAAGGGGCATGGTCTGAATATGTCGTATATTTTTTGACTTGAATTTCTTTTCTTAAAATCACTTTAGTTTAATGATTTGAACTACCAACTTGTAAATTCTTTAAATCAATCATATAGACATTCTTCATAACATTTGTTTTGTAAAAATGGGACCGATGTTTCTAATTATTTACTTTTTCTGCTTGTGTTTGCACTGAATACAAAATGGCGTGTCGATGTGTTGTTTGCGCTTTCTTACATTCGATCCTGTGCTTTTGAGTCGATTGAATTTAGGTTCTTCAATGCAAATTAAACTATATCCATTGCAAAAACTGCAATTAAATTCCATTCAAGAAGGGTTAAGCCAGGAAATATATTTTGTGGCGGAAGGTTTTTTAGAAGAAAATTATCAATTTATCCCTTTTGAACTTTAAACGTACTGTTAATTTTAGATTCCTATTTTTCCATGCTGGTTGCACACAAAGCTGTTTTTTTTGCAGTGAACTGTGTTATACGTGTTCTAAAATATCTATTAAATTATTTCTTATGAATTGTTTTGACGAATTATGACAAATATAGTAAATATATTCTGAAAATCTAGGAGCCAATTTTAACAGAAAATTGACAAATTTTTCGTAATATCTAAAAATTTACATCAAATAACCCCACTTTTGTTGTTCTTTTCTGAAAATTAAAGATAATTTTGACCTATTTGTTTAAATTCAGCAGAAGTTTAAGACTTTAAAATAATTTCCTTGCTTATTAAATTTTTAATGCCAGAAAAATCACATTTTATTAGTGCAGAAAGGTCAAATAATTGATTATGCGTAGCAATTTGAATTAAATATACTTATAGTTTATTTTGTTCCATGCTTTATTTGGATAAAAATATAAGAGGGAAAACGTTGAAGATGTAATTGTTTTATTAAGACATAGATTTCAGTGCAAAAAGGTCATATTTAATGTACTGTAGCGCCAAATGAAGCATATTGACCCCCATATTTATGTTCCCCAAACGAAGTTGGGGAACATATTGTTTTTTCTCTGTTTCTTATTATTAAGGTCTTCCGTCTCCAACGGAAGACCTTCTTGTTATTCTTCGGTTTCTTTTTCCCTATTATTATTATTCTTACCAATTTTGTGCACGCGATTTCTCGTAAACTACTGGGCCGATTCTCATGACACTTTCACATCTGATAGGTACTAATCTGAACCTTATTGGAAATTTTTTTTGTTGATGACGTCACTTCCGGTCGTGAGATATCGACAATTTCCTGATGTTAAAATGCAATTTTGTCTGAACTTAGTAGCGAAAACTGCTTAAGATATGAACTGGAGACTTATTTGAGATGAAAGTTCATGACTTATAGCGTTGCAGAATCACCTTTCCGTGTGTCATCAATACTTCCGGTCGCTACCGGAAGCGAATTTAAAAAACGCAATTTTTCAACTTTTGTTTTCTAATATTTTTGTTTTTGATTTAAATAGAGACCCTTTCGCAGAAGCGAAATGTGTAATTTGTTTGAAAATCGAAAAAGCCAATCTCGAGATATTTGCATTTGAAAACGCGAAGCGGCGATCCCAATGGCTAAATGGTTAGCGCGTTAGGATTGTCACACGGGCGACCCGGGTTCGATCCCCCGTGTGACCATAAAATTTTATCATTTTTTCTGCTGGATTTTTCGATATTTTTTAATTTTAGACCCTTTGGAACAATATATTATAAACTTTTAAGCATATCTTGCGTAATTAGGGGTCACGAGGGGCCAAATGTCAAATCTTTGACGCTTTATATCTCGAAAAGGGGGAATATTTTGATAAGCAATATTGAACAAAAGATGGTCAAAATAATGCTCTGAACAATATGAATACTTCGAATTTTTTTAAAAACGGCCCCAATAAGGACTTGTAGGAGTGGTCCCTAAATATTTCCATTTAGCATATCTCCACAACGAATAGAAATCTCTGAATAAGTGTTGAACAAAAAATCTTCACAATCACAAGACCTTTCATTTGATATTAAGAAAATGGGGCTGACCCCTCATATTAGGGGCTCACAGGGGCCAAAAGTCTTTTATCTATAACTCTCTAGTGATCAATATTTTGTTATACATTACTGAAGCAAAAGTATTTATCTTAACGATTTGCAACAATATATGATACGATTTTGATCATATGTTACGTAATTAAGGGTCACAAGGGATCAGAATGTCAAATCTTTGACGCTTTATATCTCGAAAAGGGGGAATATTTTGATAAGCAATATTGAACAAAAGATGGCCAGAATAATGCTCTGAACAATATGCATACTTTGAATTTTTTTAAAACGGCCCCAATAAGGACTTGTAGGAGTGGCCCCTAAATATTTCCATTTAGCATATCTCCACAACGAATAGAAATCTCTAAATAAGTGTTGAACAAAATATCTTCAAAATCACAAAACCTTTCATTTGATATCAAGAAAAAGGGGCTGACCCTTTAGATTAGGGGCTTAGAAGGGTCAAAAGTCTTTCATCTTCAACTCTTTCATGATCAATATCTTTTGATAAGTATCCATTATGAGAAGCATAGATATTCATCTTAACGTTTTGCAACAATATATTATAAAACTTTGATTATATGTTACTTAATAAGTGGTTGCAAGGGGCAAAAATGCTATATTTTTTTTATGCTTTACGTCTCGAAAAGAGGGAGTATTTTTATAAGCCATATTGAACAAAAGATGTTCAGAATATCCTGATAAAAAACAGAAGCTTAAAAATTATGAAGGAAAACTTAATGTCATTCTCTTTTAACGAATATCTCAGTCAAAATCACATCTCATCTTATCGAGAAATTCAACGGAAGATATATTGCTCGCAACGAGATCTCATCTAGTTATTATTATTTTTCTTCTCGGGAAAATGTCCGCGAATGATCTTGTAAACTACACATCCGATTTAGGTGAATTGTTTTTAGGGTCAGTAGACATGTTATGTAGATTTGCGGAACAAAGGTCATTTTGCGCGCACGTGCTTGCAAGAGCGTGCACGAGCAACACGTGAAAGGACCGATTTAATTGATATAGGCTTAACTTTTTACAATTTTGATGAAATGCTTTAAAACTCATAATATAAGGATATATTAGTAGCATAGACAATATCACATGATCAAATTAGCAAGATCTCACGCGCATGCACATGCGCTTTGCTCTGATTGGCTGAAACTAAAGTCTCAATATCTTTCTTGCTTTTTGATAAAATCCTTTGAAATTTTGAACATAGCCATGCATTAGGATATCCTACAACGTAATATATAGCAATTATCATAAAAACACGTGCATGCACGTGCGCTGCAATCTGATTGGCTGAAACTTTAAATAGCTATAACTCCCTTGGTTTACAACCAAATGGGGTGGGATTTGGAACATTGATAGATATAATGGACTTCTACAAGAAGGTATGGTCACCATGCACATGCCTGCACGTGCGTGTACATGCGCTGCAATCTGATTGGCTTAAACTTTAAACAGCTATAACTCCCTTGGTTTACAACCAAACGGGGTGGGATTTAGAACATAGATAGATGTAATGGACTTCTACAAGAAGGTATGGTCACCATGCACATGCATGCACGTGCGTGTACATGCACTGCAATCTGATTGGCTTAAACTTTAAACAGCTATAACTCCCTTGGTTTACAACCAAACGGGGTGGGATTTAGAACATAGATAGATGTAATGGACTTCTACAAGAAGGTATAGTCACCATGATCATGTATGCACGTGCGTGCACGTGAAAAGAGTAAAATAAAAAATACACTTGAATGAGAGTATTTTTTAATACTTTTGGATTAAATACTTTAATATTTAGTATATAAATATATATAGATTGGATAGACAAGATGATATGGTCATTACGCACATGCATTCACATGCGCAAGCGTGCAATGCTTAAATTTGAATGAACTTGGTACACTTCTGGGTAAACGTTGTTAAAGTCTTAAATGCATAGAGTTTGTCCTATTTAATGAAGCCTCTAGGGAATATGGCACCAAAAGGGAGTTGGAGAGCGTTTGGAACATCTGTAACGGTCCCCGTTACAATTAGCACTAGTTTGATTTGAATTTTAATTAAGCTATGTGTGTAGAAAGTAAAAATATACTTGACAAAGAAAGTTTAAGACTTTAAATATCAGGATCAAACATCGTTAAGTCATTCTTGATAACAATTTGCATACATTTTGATATAAAAAAAACATGGAATTTTGGTTAACTGTAACAGGCAAGACCTGACATCTTACAATGGGTAACTGTAACAGACAAGACCTGACATCTTACATTTGGTAACTGTAACAGACAAGACCTGACATCTTACAATGGGTAACTGTAACAGACAAGAACTGACATCTTATAATGGGTAACTGTAACAGACAAGACCTGACATCTTACAATGGGTAAATGTAACAGACAAGACCTGACATCTTACAATGGGTAACTGTAACAGACAAGACCTGACATCTTACAATGGGTAACTGTAACAGGCAAAAACTGACATCTTATAATGGGTAACTGTAACAGGCAAGACCTGGCATCTTACAATGGGTAACTGTAACAGGCAAAACTGACATCTTATAATGGGTAACTGTAAGCCTTTTATAACTTAACAACAAAATTTGGATTCAAGCCATGAAAATAAACAACTTTCCATTTTTATAAATGATCTCTGGGCGTCATGAAATTTTAAGTACTTATCGAGAATTGCTCTCAAAGTCTAAAAAGTTAAAGTAATTTGTCCAAAATCCCGTGCGTGAAAAGAAGAAAACACTTGCTGTGGCCTTCAACGCGATATTTAGATATATCGACGACGTATTGTCAATTGAAATGGTAATTTCCATTCTTGTGTCGATATGATATACGAGGGGTGGTCAAAAAGTTCGCGAACTAATTGAATTACTTCCATAAAGTAAACAATATTTGGTTTTGATGTTGATTATATTTTAAATTAATCCTCCCCGATTTTAATGCACATTAACCATCGGTCTGCGCATGCGTGAATCACGTGATATTGGCGGTCACGTGACCCCCTCCGTAGCGTTCTGTCACAAAAGTTGAAAGATTTTTCTGAGTTTTATATTTCTTTCCATTTGAGTAAATTTTTATAACAAGAACGGTTCATTTGTCAGAAATGGTCATATCTCTGCAACAGAATGGGTGGATAATAACATCCTTTCCAAAAATAAGCATGGCGACCATCAAAACACAAATCTTCTCTCTCGGGAGAGACCTTTATTCAAGGTGGATAAAGAATGGGTTCCTCCTTTTTATCATATCTAATATGTTTAAAATCTAAAGTAAACGATATCTTAGGTATTTAATACTTATATTATTGTTCAAATATTCAACTATTTTTCAAAGTGTTAATTGGAGGTCTTTGATAGCAAATTGCTTAATTAAAAATACATATCTTTTCAAACTTGCTTTCACTGGGCAAGATGACAAGTATCATTTTTAACCATCTGCCTTCCTTCACTAAAACGATCAATCCAATCATTAATTAAGGATGTTATTATCAACCCATTCTGTTGCCGACATATGACCATTTCTGACAAATTAACTGTTCTTGTCATAAAAATTAACTCACATAAAAAGAGATATAAAACTCGGAAAAATCTTTTAACTTTTGTGTCAGAACGCTACGGAGGAGGTCACGTGACCGCCAATATCACGTGATTCGCGCATGCGCAGAACTATGGTTGATGTGCATTAAAATCGGGGAGGATTAATTTAAAATATAATCAACATTAAAACCAAATATTGTTTCTTGTATGGAAGTTACTCAATTAGTTTGCGAACTGTTTGATCACCCCTCGTATAGGAACTCATTTATCTCAATAAACTGTGTACAAATTATTATATGAGACTGCAGAGGGATTTCTAAGATATACAGTAAATTGTACAGTCGTTTGTTGAACGAGTTCGTCCGAGACAAACATTTTTCGTCACAAGTGACCTACATAGTGACGTCATTTTCACATTGTGACGTCACAAACAAGGAGAAAAACTTTATTCAGCATATGCTATTTATAGGCCTTGTGTATGGCTATGTGTGCACCGAATTTCAATCTGATCTGAATTGTGTGTTTATAGATATAGAGATAGATCGCGAACTTTTTGATCACCCTCGTATCCTGGTGAGCTTGAGATAAAAGATACCACAGAGTCTGACACATATGTTTCATATTTGGATGTTTTACTTGAAAAAGACGTTAATGGTAATCTAACAACCAAGCACAGGCACTTGTTTCGGGAATAAATTTTAACCCATAGTATAATAAAAACACAAGGTATCTAACTCCAAATTACACGGAGTACCCCCTCCCTTAGAATCGCGCTCATTTACACTTTCAGAGAAAAGGCAGTGGCAAGCTGTTTATACTTATGCCATCTACGATAATGTCCACACTTCATTACACTATGCAACTTTATATATAAACGCAACACCTTAATATGCATTGTAGCGCACCGAGCAGGTTGACGCCAGGTTTATTATATTGAATATATTCAAACATACAAACAAAGCAGTTTTGATATAACATTTTGCCAACAAACAAACAGGCAAAAACACATACACACAACAACTTTTTATATTGATGCAATAGAATCTAAGTCTTAAAGCCTCCTCTGCCGCCCAGGAAAAACCATAGATAAAAAATATTTTGAAAAAACTATGGAAACCTGTGTATCCGCGGCAAATGCAGAGTAAGCGAAAAAATTGAGTGGCGGACCCTCACTCATGATTTAAACATCCAAATAGCTTATTCTTAGTTTCAAAAAAAAAAAATTATTAATTCAACTATTTTATTTCAAAACAAAATTTTAAACACGACTTGCTCGGGAAAGCGTGCGCTAGAAAGTGAACTCTTACTAACCACCCGTAGATACAATCGAACACGTTTTCTCAATACTGACATTTCATTGGCTGAAACCTACATAACAATTTTACCTTAGTAACACCACACTTTCGTATTCGTTTACATGTCGTCAGGACAATTATTTTTCGCTATACTTCGTAACGCGAAAAAATGTAAGTCCACACTTCATTACACTATGCAACTTTATATATAAACGCAACACCTTAATATGCATTGTAGCGCACCGAGCAGGTTGACAATAGACATAACCAAAGAAAGGGAGAGAAAGGGACTAAAAAAAATATATATATATATGTAACTCACAACAACAATTGTTTTGATACATGTAACCTTTTTTCTAAAGAGTCTTTGACATAAACATTTTTACTAGACACCGATTTCCATCGCCCGTGCTTTTGTAAACACCTTTCATTAACACCAACATTTGCAGCAGCAGTTGCACCCCCTGATCTGAGAGAATGGAGACCAATATTAAATTTGGAGCTACCGTTTTTAAAAGAGTAACAATATTTTGCCTTGCTGCAGTATAACTAAGCTTCTTGTTTTTAAATATCAATTTTGAAAAACCATTACTTCTGAAAGCGGGCTTAAAAAGAAAATGATCAGAACATAAATCAATTTCCGCTTCTTTTGTATAACGTAGAAACATAGCATATGGACAAGCACTTGTGATACCTTTTGCAATAAGTACTTCATTTCCATCTCTATATTGATCGTTTTTGCATTTTTCAATAAAAATTTTTAAATAATTTTCTTCAACAATGATATTATTACATTTCAGAGAACTCAGTTCATCAAATCTCAAAAAACCAGCAAAAGCTATCAAAATCATAGATAAATTTCTCAATAAAAGAACATCTGTACTGTCAGTATACAAATCACACAAATCTTGTAACATCTGTCGGTCGACTGGATCTTTCCTGCGCACCGGTCTACCAGTTAAACGTTTTGCTGATTCTTGTAACGATTTCACAAAAGAATTTTCGGTAGGATCTGGATAACACTAATTTCATGCATCCATTTGATTGAATAAATAGCACTATTCACTGTAGAATACGACGCACCAGAATCTAGCAAATAAGTAATATACAAGGCAACGTGCACCGGCTGCGCTGGAATTTCACTTTGCTCATGCTCATTTATGAACTTCTTCCATCGTTGAAAACTATGTTTGTATGCCTTGTTGGTTCCGTCACTCTTCGATGATAAAAGATATCCACACATATGCTCACTAAAAGATCCCAACTTGCTGCCCAATGAAATACCACTCTCAGTAACTGCTTTGTTTACATGTAACTGCACTCCTAATCCTGGAAAAAATACTCAGTGCCATTAGAATACATATATTAAATAATCTTGCGCACTTACTGTCAATTTTAAAATTGAATCCTCAATACCAACATCTTAAATTTCAATGGAAAGTTTGCAAATACTGATTTGTTACTCTTGCCATGCGTTATTAATTTTTCATTAAGTAAATAATCATAATATTTTACAAAATGTTTGAAACAGTTTCCTTCAAATATCAAAGGCCAATATGGAGATGACTTCCACTCTGGAATAATCAACGTACCCGAGGCCTTCTCTGCAACCATTTTGTTAATAACTCTAGGTATAAAAATGGGCGGGGGAACTAACCAATTATTTTCACTTACCCATACCTGTGTAAAAGCATCAATTGCCTCTGTACCAGGACACCAATATTTTGAATTAAATCTTTCACATTTTTTATTGTAATGAGTTGCAAATCTGTCAACAGTATGAACTCCCCACAATTTCTCATAAATGTCAAATACCTCATCCCGAACTGACCAATCGTCCATGTCAGTTACACGGCTCAAAAAATCTGCCCTTTTGTTTTCAGTTCTAGGCTTCCATACATTGCAAACCCGAATACTGTTTTCACAGCAAGTATCAAATATTTGATTTGCAATAATTTGTAAATATGGTTTTTTGCTCCCAACTTGCATAATTTTTGAAACGTTTTTACTGTCCGAAATTACATTTAAATTTGAGTTTTCAATGATATTGACTTTACTTTTCATAACCCTTTTAACAGTTTCAAGTTCTCTCCATGTTGAGCTTTGTATTGCTTCTTCTTCTGTCCAATTTCCAACTACACTACCCATAAACACATTTTCATCTCTGTCATTCAAACTTTCAAAATAGCCACCAAAGCCTACATCTGAGGCATCGCAATATAAATACAAATTGCATACATCTGATGCGCTTACCAAATCAATTGAACAACCATTTTCGTTCAATGTTGACACACTTTTTCGCCAAAATTCAATTTCTTTCAAAGCTTCCGCACTTATTTTTACCTGAGATTCCCAGCTAGCTTTGCTTGATATACAGTAATACAAATATCTTGTTTTCATTCTAACTATATCACCGAAAACCACTTTCATGGATATTACTTGACCAACAATTTTAGCCAAAAATTTTACATGAAAATAAAATACATTTTTCTGTACCTCGCAATGTAAAGCGTCTAAACAAGAATTTAAACGTTGAATTCTGTCACCACTGATATAAACTTGACCTTTTTCTGTATTCCACTGCAGACCTAACCATAAACAATTTTGACTTGGAACCCAATTACATTTTTCTTCTGCAAACAAGAAACCCAAATTTTGAAAAAGATTCTTTATTGAATTACTTGCCTTTGATGCCTCATCAAAATTTCTGCCTGCAGCTATACCGTCATCTAGAAATGTTATAATTTTTATACCTTCTGACCTTAAGCGTTTCACAGGCTCTCTAAGAACTTTAGAAAATATGTACCCTGCTGTTGAAATGCCAAAAGGTAGTACATTAAAAACAAAATAAGACACTTTTCCATTTTCTTTCCATGAAAACCCTAAATATTGTCGATGTTCCTCGCATATTTCTAAATGGTGATAAGCTGATTTTAGGTCAAAAGTAAACATGAAATCTCCTATCTTAAGCATTTCCTTTGCTGTTATAGCATCTTCGTATCTAAACTTAAATTTGTGTAAATGAGGATTAATATGCCTACAATCAAGCACTAACCTTGGCTTACCGCTTTTATTTTTAGCCACAGTGAAAGGATTTACAACTGTAGGTTTTTCAGACACTCGTGACACGCACCCTTTTTCTAGCAAATTTTTTATCTCACCTGTAACGAAATCTGGCTCATCTCTCGCTGACCTATTGTTGTTTAATTCAATAGCCACAGGATTAGTTTTGAATGGAATTCTATAACCTGTCTTTATAACATCTAGGACTGTTTTACCTGTTCCAATTTTCTCCCACTCGTCATAGTGTGATCTTAAGCGACCAACTGGAGATTTTTTATTTTTCATATCAACAAAATGTGCAAATTTTGAAATAGATAAAATATTATCTAAGTTTTCACTTATCTTGTTTGACTTGTCATCTTTCTTTGTGCAATCTCGGCTCCAGTGCCCTTTTGCCCCACAGTCAAAACATCTGCCGGGTTTTCCACTGCCTGTTGACTTCTCGTCAGTCTCCATGCGAGTAACCGTTGCCGGTTTCTTTTGATAGGGCTCGAATCTAGATCTCTTCTTCCCGTTGAAAACTTTTCTCTCTGCCCTCATCTGCGCTCTGTACATCTTTTTCTCATCGTCTGAATCGTCTGCTATCGGATTGGCTTCATACTCTTGAACCACTCTCCAACCAAGCTGCGACGAATCTGCTAACTTAATGACTTTTTGGCGATTTTTAACCAGCTCAATACCTTCATTTATGCTGCTTTTGGCTAAATCTACACCGTCATCGCTGTTCAAATGTTCCCTTGCTTCCTTCAGTTTTGTAAGCACTTTTGCCTCATGTTTATATTGATTCTCGTTTCCTTTTTTCCGGAAAACATAATGTTCATTAAGATTTTCTTCTATTTTACTTATCTGGGAAGTTGAAATTTGTTGAATATTCTGCTGAAACGCTGTCAGACGACTATCCATCATATCTTTCAGATTGTCCAATAATTCCGACTGTTGACGCGACACAACTCGATTAACTTCTTCAGAAATTGCACCCTGTATCTGCCTGGCGTCCATGACCGAAAACACGACTTGCTCGGGAAAGCGTGCGCTAGAAAGTGAACTCTTACTAACCACCCGTAGATACAATCGAACACGTTTTCTCAATACTGACATTTCATTGGCTGAAACCTACATAACAATTTTACCTTAGTAACACCACACTTTCGTATTCGTTTACATGTCGTCAGGACAATTATTTTTCGCTATACTTCGTAACGCGAAAAAATGTAATTATCTACACAACTATATATGACTTGCTTGTCTTTGTTTTCTTTAATCTCCGTAAACAGCGTCAAAACTCTACCCGCCGAATAGAAAAGTCGAACTAAATCATAAAACGGTATGTGCTAATCTCAGGCAAAAAGAAAAATTAAAGAATGCGTGTGTTTAAAAATTCAATTCCAGATTTTATATATTGTATTGAATAAATAAAATTTCATTTGTGTCTTATTTTCCATAAAAACACTACGATGTTTTTCCTATGAAATTTCAGAAGCAGATTTTTAGCCAATCAAATTCGAGGTCTAATTGTTTGCCCGTGACTAGAGCATACCATTCTATAGCTGAGTTTTACTTTCCACTCGGCGAGCAGAGTTTTGAAGCTGATTACGGAGAAAAAAGAAAATAAAGACAAGCACGTTAGATATGGTTGTGTAGATAAATTATCGTAGAAGACATAGGTATAAACAGTTAACCCGTGCATTTCCTCTGAAAGTGTAAATGAGCGCAATTCTAAGGGAGGGGGGGGGGTACTCGGTGTAAATTGGAGTTAGATACCTTGTGTTATCCTTATACTTTGGGTCAAAAATTTATTACAGAAACAAGTGCCTGTGGAACCAAGCTCTATATCGTGATGACTTTAACTTTTCTATCGTCAACTTCCTTTACTTATGCAGCAATATACCTTCATCACCTGCATACGGAGTTTACATCTCTCAGTTGATTCGATACGCAAGAGCATGTCCCTCGTATGAACAATTTCTAAAACGAGGTAAATTAATGACGATTTGGTTAAACAAGAATATCAGCAGCCTCGTTTAAAGTCATTATTTCGTAAGTTCTAACGTTGATACAATGACCTCGTCAGCAAAAACAATTTATCATTGAGTCAAATACTGAGTGGCGTTTTCAAACTGATTGTTAGTCCATTATTCATACACTGAACTGACGACAGATTCTTCTGTTATTTCCCGATCATGACAAGGTAATCACAGCGGGTGTGACCGGTCGGCAGGGGATGCTTACTCCTCCGTTGCACCTGATCCCACCCCTGATATTTAAGAGGTCCGTGTTTGCTCTGCTACTATTTTGTATTGTTTTATAGACTTTCGATATGGAATACTGTTCGTTATCTCCAAGTTTCATCCTACAATGGGTAACTGTAACAGGCAAGACCTCTCATCTTACTTTGGTAACTGTAACAGGCAAGACCTCACATCTTTCATTTGGTAACTGTAACATGCAAGAACTGACATTTTACAATGGGTAACTGTAACAGGCAAGAACTGACATCCTACAATGAGTAACTGTAACACCTGATATCTTACAATAGGTATACAGTACAACTGTAACAAACAATAACTGACACCTTGTATGTACAAAGTATACCTGTATCAGCTGAAAACTGACAACTAACAACGTTACCTGTAACAGGTAAGAGCAGAGAGCTTACAGTGGTACCTGTAACATGACAACTTTTCACCGAAACAATAAAAATCACTGAACAGGACATAAATTATAGACACACTGTGATAAATAAAATAAAAATAAATTAACAGGACATAAATTATAGACACACAGTGATAGAAAAATAAAAATAAATTAACAGGACATAAATTATAGACACACTGTGATAAATAAAATAAAAATAAATTAACAGGGCATATATTATAGACACACTGTGATAGAAAAATAAAAATAACTAAACTGTACTTAAATCATAGACACACAGTGATATCGTCGGAAACCCACGAGTGATTACGTTCTGCGCCTCTCTCCATCACCCATATGATGGAGAGAGGAAGGAAGCGTATTCAGTCCTGGATTTCCGACGATGCACAGTGATAGTTAAACTAAAAAATCACTGAACAGGACATAAAACATACACACATACACACACCAATATACAATATATAAAATGAAACTCACAGATAAACTTCCAAATTCACTATATTATAAAAAAAAGTTATTTTTATATCAAAATGTTAATGTTTCTCTGTCTTTATTTTATAGAATAGATAAAGTTTAAGTTGAACAAGTATCGTAAATACGCGTACGCTATTTTAGACTTTACTATCTACGATATCAGCACCATTGTACACTCTTCGCATTCGTTAATTGTCAAGGTATCGGCATTAAATGGCGACCCGTGGTCGTGCTGGTCGTCTTGCATTACCTTTGGTGACACTGCAGATGCGTGCATTTGTGCTTGTTTGTATGTTGCACTAATCTGAGCAACTGTTGCAAGTCCCTTTGGTATTTTACTCTCCTGCATTTAAAGAACTAATTCTGTCGCTATCGAGTGTAGTATAGCATACGTCCTCTACACTGTTGACGATTGATTACACTGAACAGTGACTAAGTGAGCAGCTCTATACCTAGTGGCCCTCAGATATAGTAGAGACTAAACAAATATAGTGGACAAATTCTTTTACAAATCGTATTCAACTTTAATGATTAATGACGCAAAGAAAGCCTGGATTGTACATGTATGAATTACCTTTGCCTATTTAAATCGTAAATTATTCTAAAAATATAAAAATATAAAGAAAGTGTAAACTTTTTACGGTGTTCAAAATTAACTTCATCCTGCAACCAACCTAAATAGCTTTACATTTCTTTGACACTGTAAATCCCATTATTGAGAAACTTTAAATGAACCAGATGTCTCTGTCGAGACTGTAGCTCAACTGGTTAATACTAGTCTTATAACAAAGGAATTTAAGAGAAAAGTAGCAGTTGGGACTGGAAACTTTAAACAGCAATGAATAGAAAAATGCCTTAATGATCCTTGATTAATTCACTATTTCTGGCAATATTGCAATAAGAATACAACCGTAGGAATAGCTTTTAATAAAATTTTAAAGAATTTTCAATTTTAGTTAACATGGCAAGATCATTCATCAAAATAAATTAAAACAAAAATAGTCTATCTGCATGCTACATTATATTATCAACAAATAAAAACTGTATTTGTAATAGCAATTTAAATTATTTTATAGAAATTTCTATTTTTAGTTACCACGACAACACCGTTCATTGAAATCAAAAATCGATAAATAGAATTATGTATCTTAGTGTAGTCTACTTGTGTATCAAGTAGTATTGAAATTAGACCAAAATTAGAGGAGGAGTAGCATTCTAAAAGTAGTTCACAGATATTTCCATTCCTAGTTACCATGGCAATCATCGAAATAAAAAAAATCGATGCATAAAATTATGTATCTTAGTACAGTCTACTTGTGTGCCAAGTTATTTTGAAATCAGACAAAAACTGTAGGAGGAGTAGCATTTTAAATACATTTAACAGAAATTTCTCTTTTTAGTAACCACGGCAACCCCGTTCATCGAAATCGTAAACCGATGCACAGAATTATGTATCTTAGTATAGTCTACTTGTGTGCAAAGTTATATTGAAATCTGACCAAAACTGTAGGAGGAGTAGCATTTTGAAAAATTGGTTACAGACAGCTAGACAGACGGATGGACAACTAGACGGACGGACAACGGACGCATTACTATCGCATAAGCTCTTAATTCTGGTCTCTGACCAGTAGAGCTAAAATGAAAATCCGCACGGTTAGATTTATTCATCGTATTTGTATAATAACAACTTAATAAAATTTTGTATCATCTGTTCTGAACTGCTCCATAAAGGCATCCAGTTAAATGCAATAGTGAAAAGTACCACCAAGGGGTGTATGCATTTAACACTAACATCTTACCATTTAAAGAACCGTAACCCCTACTCAATGGATCGAAAACATCTTATGAAAATGAATACACTTGTAAGTGCATATTCAAACTAAAAACACACATATGCGAGATAAAGACAAAATTTTTTGGAGATTGATAAAGGGTATTTTTTTCAGTGACTATTTTTTCTGTATCAATCCAAATACTTAATAATTTTGATGCACGATTCACTGTTCTCTCCAACCCACAGGTTTTCGTCACTATCAATGCTGAGAACGAAGGGGTCTTTCAAACTGCAGTTGATGTACCGTAAGAACTTCCCGTTCCTGTCAACGACGTGGACGCAATCATTATTGCGATCAACAACAAGGATACGACAATAGTTGTCGGTATCTATTCCATGAGGATAGAATTCTTTGTAGCTGCGAGAGAGACTTCCGGTGTACCGAAATCGGAATTCCCCGGATTTCTTGGTAACGATGACAGCTGAGGCGTTCCAGTCTGACACACAAATGTCCCCGTTTCCATTTTCGGTGATATACATGTTGTTCCGGCCTACAGAAAACAGTGACTTTTTGTTGTCATCAAATTGAATTTCTTTTTTCAATTTGCCTCCAGAAAATATGCCAATCTTGGCCTCTGAGTAGTCGTTTCGTCGCATGCAGACCATCAATTCGTCTTCTTTGTTGAAGCAAAGACCAAATGGAATCCAGCCTATCATTTCTATCATCTTCTCGATGCGATCTTTTCTGACTAATTTAACACATTCATCCGTTATGTGTGGAAAAGCAACATCGCCGTGTTTGTTTACCGCAATGTCTTTCTGACTATTTCTCGAAATCGCCATAATGGAATTCAGCAGAGTACCGTGTTTGCTATACTGCTTAAGTTTTTCATCATCTCCATAAACCCACACTCCCTTTGTTGATTCACAACAAATTCCTTTTAATTTTCCGCTGTCGGTTTTTATAATAGCTAGAGGTTTTGGTTCTTCCAGTAACATGCGGGCTGATACAGCCGATACCCCACAGGTTTTACTTATGGCAAATTCTGGTAGAGTTGTTCGACTGGAGGGTTTGAGTGTCAAAATCTGGTTAATAATCTGTTCTTCCGAAATATCTGACGGAATTATTTTCGGTGGTAAGATGACTATTCTACTAGGAACAAGTCGCAATTCCTCGACCATTGAATCGTACTTTAGGAGATTCAAGATGTTGTTATCTTTCAAAAGTTTCTCGTTTTCCTGAATGCAGAATTCCACATGTTTTAAAATTGCTTGAATTTCTTCGATGCTATCCTGCATGTGTTTCTTGTCTTCTTTAATCATGCCATCAACATCCTTTCTAAATTTGTCTATCGTGACATCAACTTTCTCATGCCAAGCTTTCCTCAACTCTTCTAGAGTATCTGCTTCTTTCTTATTGCGATCTGCGTACTCAGAAAACTTTTCTATCATTTTCTGCACAACATTTTCATATTCACTTTTGAAATGCTTTAATTCCAATAAGTCGCTTTGGACGACGCTTTGAGTTGCTGTTGTAATTTTGGACAAATTGACAGTTCTGTGACCCTCATGGTTTCCCAAAAGACACTGAAAGCAAATAGGAACTGTGCAATCCTGACAGTACAGGACGTTTTCTTTCGAATGATCACTACATCTGTCTGGAGAGGAAACCTGTGGCTTGTACGGCTCAATTTCATGCTTCAATGCCTCATTTTCTAAATGTTTATTTCTACAGTCTCTGCAAAGGTTAAGACCACAACTTCTACAATGAACAACGACCACATTTGTACATTGACTACAACGAACGGCATCTTGGGCCATTTTTTGTGCGTTTTCATCACTCATCGTTCACTTGTACCTGAAAAAAAATTAAAGGAATGCATTAACAAATCGCTATTTTAGACAGGAATTTTTTGGGTGGAATATTTATAATTGCAGTAAAGCTTTTCAAGAGATAGCCCTTTGAAATATAGGAGCCACTCTCTGTAATAAATATACCTGGTCTATTAGATCCATGATAGGCATAGTCAAGGATTGTCATATGTCTTGATACTTAACGCTCGTTATAATTAAGCAAAAATGGTTACTATAGAATAGTATATTAGTAGTATAGTTTACAAACCTGTTATTAGCAAGCCTACTGCATGTTGTATTCATGCCATTAAGTCGAATGCTGACTGACGTTTTTTATTCTAATTGTTTGGCTATTACAAGTATTTACACACACTGAATATTAATTGTCGACGGATTTTCCCGTTATTTCTCGATCATGACAAGGAGCACACGGCAGGTGTGACCGATCGGAAGGTAATGATGATTCCTCCATGGAACCTGATCCCATCTCTGATGTCAAGTAACAATAGATACTTCAATTCTTATTTCGACTCGGTATAGCCCAGTGAACTTAAAAAACATGATACTATGAGTGTGGACAACTTGCTCGAAAAAGACTTTTATGGGAACCTAACAACAAGCCATAAAATAAACATTTCTCCATTTTTATAAATGATCCTGGGCGTCATGGAATTTTAGGTACTTATCGAGAATTGCTCTCAAAATCCACAAAGTTAAAGTATTTTATCCAAAATCTTTTACCTGAAAAGAAGAAAATACTTGCTGTAGCCTTCACCTCGACATTTCGGTATATCAACGAAGTATTGTCAATCAACAATGCTTATTTCTATTCTTATGTCGATACAATATATCCCGATGAGCTTGAGATAAAAACTACCACAAAGTCTAACACATCTGTTTTTGGATATTTTACTTGGAAAAGACGTTAATGGTAACCTAACAACCAAGCGCTATGATAAACGTGATGACTTTAACTTTTCAATCGTCAACTTCCCTTATGCAGCAATATACCTTCATCACCTGCTTACGGAGTTTATATCTCTCAGTTGATTCGATACACAAGAGCATGCACTACGAATATGTACGATTTCTAAAATGAGGTAAATATTGACAAACAATTTTATATATTTACATTTGCAAATATCTTTCTTAGATGAACCTATTGAAGAGAAAAATATGTTCAATTTAGTGTGAATGTTATTTGGGGGTCAGAGGTCATAGTGCGACCGAATCACAGAGCGAGGTGATATTTTGTTCCTGTAATAAATGCTATTTAACTCGAAATGCATGTATTCGTCTCAAATGTAAATATAAGTAATAAACAACAAAGTTCAATGGGAAATGAATGTTTAGTTGGTACGTGCTCAAATCTACCGAGAAGCCCTTCGGGCTTCACAGGATTTGATCACGTGACCAACTAAAAGTTCGTTTCCCAGATAACTTTTTAACATTGTTGTTTATTTCTTAATTAATGAAACAATAATATCAGCAGTCTCGTTTAAAGCATCATTTCGTAAGTTCCCTGGTCGATACAATGACCTTGTCAGCAAATACAATTTATCATTGAGTCAAATGCTGACTGGCGTTCTTCAAACTAATTGTTAGTCCATTGTTTACACACTGAATTGACGATGGATTTTTCTTTTATTATTTCCTGATTATGACGATGACCACACGGCGGATGTGACCGGACGGAAGGGGATGCTCACTCCTCCATCGCACCTGGACCCACCTCTGATGTTTTGGAAGTCCATGTTTGTTCTACTCCTATATTGTATTGACTTTTGGACTTAAATACTGTTCGTTATCTCCATATGTTTCATTTTAAAGGTAAGCTAACTTAACCCAAGCTTAGATCTTCAAATTTGTTGGGAATACCAGGAGGGCATCATCGATAGTTGGTAACGTGGGATAATTTGCATACCCAACTAGACAGTGATTCCTCATATTTCCAGTTCATTGTGATATAAAATTGTAAATTTAGATTTTATAAATGCTGTCTCATAGGCCACCCATGTCAGTTCCAATAATCTACATGAATGCCCACTGACGTCAGACACAAAGACAGCCGCGCGATTTATATAAAATACATGGTAAACTGTCTTGAAATATAAGCGATATTTGGGCGAGGGTAAGAAATCGTGATAGAGGGCGAGGCAAGCATCGCCCTCTATCACGTTTTCTTACCCTCGCCCAAATATCGCTCGCCCTCTATCACGTTTTCTTACCCTCGCCCAAATATCGCTTATATTTCAAGACAGTTTAATTACCATGTATTTTATATATATAAGGTCATTTTAGTATTTTCCTTTAACAGACACCCTGTCTATTCCGACATAAAATTTGTCTCCCAGTGCCTGGCCTTTCGCTCCTGCGAAATTTACATTCCGGTTGAATTGCCAAATAATCAACTCGATCATTACTAACTTTCAAATACACGTAGTTTATCACAGAGAAACAAATAGAAATGGAAATATATCTATATTTTGAAGTATTTTCAATACCTTAGCTCACAAAATATCAGAGGGAGAATACAACGTTGACAGTGGCGGATTTAAGGGGGGGTGGCTTTGCCCTGGACCCACTGGCGGCTTCAAGGCGGCCCCCAGACCCCCTGCCTAAATCTTGCGCCCCCTAACTTCAATTCCTGGATCCGCCCCTGGTTGAACTGTGTATGTCGCAACTACATGATCTGCATCTGCATGCTGCAGGTTTATACTGAATGAAGGAGAATACACTTATATTATACAAGTTATATCCATTTGCTTCTTTAATTAAACTTAATAATCAGCTTATACGTACGTATGTTTGTAGAATTCCACGCTACAGCACAGAGTTATGTAGTCGATATTCAACACGTCCGCAGTTTATAAATATCGATAACATAAATAATTGGATATCTGAAACCCGAGTTATTCCGCATGTGCAAGCACAATTGCTTCCGCCACGTTGGAAAAGTGCACTCTCTAAAACATAGCATGACCCGGCATGGCCTGACATGAGTTTGAGGTTGAAGTGAGGCTACCAGGCAGAATTCATATGCCCCCAACAATTGATTAAAAAAAATTAGGTGATGGAACAGTGACTGATATAAAAAATAAATTTTAAGAAATGTTGATTTCATTCTTACAAATTATCACTAATACTTTCAGTCAAATATTGACTGACAGCTTTTTTCACACTGTATTTTCCCCTTTACTAGAACATGACAGGGAGCAAAGGAAGGTGTAATATATCTACAGGGGAAGTTTAATCAGTCACCTGATCCCATCTCTGTTTTAAATGTCTAGATTTGTGTTCTGCTCGTAATTTATATGGTTCAAATGGACTATTAGAATGATAACTTAGCATTATCATGATTATAATTATATTCACATTCCATTTCAATCATACAGTTTGCTTGCCAGAAAGCCTAACATTCCCCAGCGCATTACTATATGATTGATATTCCTTCTCAATATTGGACATTTTCAATTGAAAAAAATTGATATACTATAAGTTCTACACTATGCTTCCTGTTTTCTGCACAGGGAAGTGCAAAAGGCGGAAACTCTGTCTCCAGTAGGGAGATTTTTTTTCCCCTGTTGTTAGCTTAATTCGTGCGAACCCAATTGTTTTTTTTTTCATCAATTCGCTTCATACAAAAAATTATGTAACTTTACTCTTTATAATAAAGCCATATTTAAAAGAATATTTGTTTTCCCTCTCCCGATTCAGGTTAAAGAAAGAGGGCGTTCAAGGCGTGGACAATCCCTACTCTGAGATAAAATGTTTCTAAATTTTCAAAAATCACTGAAAAGTTATATTTTTCTAAAATCATGTTCTCAGTAATGTCATCTTCAAAACATTTTTTTATTTATTTTTTTTACTGAACGACTTATCATTTGATAATCTTTATTTCAAAGTTGACAGTTAAGCATATTTAAAGGGAAAAGGGTTTACTTGAGCTATAAAAAAATGAATTTTGAACATGAATGGGTCAAGTCTCCATTCTTCGTTAACAATAACGTTAAATGATGCAAACGTAAATGTAAAATCTATTTCATGTGTTATAGAAAACGTTTTTCCTGAAAATTACAGCATATTTGCTGACAGGATAAGAGGAATAACTAGAAACGATCTCGTTGCTAGCAACGAGAGGTCTTCCGTCCGATTCTGGAAAAAAACTCATAAAGTCAAGCTGAGAAGTGATTAAAAATTTTGGTCACAAATTGAATCCAGGTCGCCAGCGTGAAAATCCAATCCGCTTTTTTCCCCTTTTATCCCCAACGCGCTAACCATTACGCTATTGGGAGTACTGCTCTAAATTACTTTTGCTACAGTACACCTGTCTAAGAATTATAAAAGACGTGCCATTATTCATAATTTCGCGCCAAACGCCACGTTAAATCTTCGTACCTTTTCTTTTGACTGATCTATTAAACAGGTGTGATAGTTTCAATGAAATTAAGAAAAAAGAACGTTCTCATAGCCTACATTTCGAGGTTTAGAAGATATATTTAACACATTGTACACATTCTATAGAAAAGTAACACAAAAGCAGGTGAAATGACTATAATTTAATTTTTTTTATTTCCCCTCTCAGAAGTGAACTATGCCGATTAGTTACACTTTCATAAAAAGGTTGAAATGTTTCGCCGTAAAACATGCCTCGCTCTACGACAGTCAAGGAATCAGATACCATTTATGTTCAATAACTTGATTCAGATCTTTGAGAAAAGAATGTTAATATAAACTCCATTAGACGATCTTATTAAAATGTTTTTCTTATTTTTGTCTTTTATATTCGTTTAATATCATACAAGTGTGCATGGGAAAAACAGTGGTTATACGTTTTATACTTACTATATACATGCATCGATATTGTTTCTTGAAAAACTATTACTTATAACTATGATTTAAGATCTGTTTTTCTGTCGTGCAAAACAGATGATAATAGGTATTTCTCATTTGCACATTTAGTCTTTTCCTTTTCTACTTTGAGAACCAACCAAAACCAGTTACAGAAGACGTTTGAGAAGACCCTGGAATAAATCTTTAGTTTGACTCAGAATTGTATCGTAATTACTACGTGATCTATTAACGCGCAAACCATTACGCTATTGGGAGCACTGCTCTAAATATACTTGTGTATACATTTGCAACAGTACACCTGTCTAAGAATTATAAAAGACGGGCCACTATTGATAATTTCACGCCAAACGCCACGAGTAAATATTCGCGCCTTTTCTTTGGACTGATCTATCAAATAGAGGTGATAGCTTCAATGAAATTAAATAAATAAAACGTTCCTATCGCCTTTATTTTATTTCGACGCTAAGAAGGTATATTTAACACATTGTACACATTACATAGTGATCTAGCCCAGTTAAACTAAAGCAGTGAAACGGAAATAAGTTTTAAGATTGACACGTAATTACAACGTACTACTACGTGAAAGTCCAGGTAGTTTTTTACATTTCATGTATCCTTATGTAAGAATGGTTTAATCAAACGCTCAGCTGCCTCCATAGACCTCTACTCGCGAAATGGCGGAGTTGACAGAGACAGCCTCCATCTTGGTCCCGCTTCAGATTTTTTAATGTTGATATCTAGAGTTTTGATTTATCAGTATTCAAACAAATTATATAGTAAGCATCAATAGAAGGGTCTCTATAAGCATTCCAAAAATAAATAAAAAATATTAAAAAACAAAAAAGTTAGAAAATACAATTTTTTTAATTCGTTTCTCCTAACGACAGGAAGTACCGACGACGAACGAAAGGTCGTGTCCTGGATAGTATATATCACGATCTATAACCCCTGAAAGTTTCACATTTATATCTTCTACCGTTCTTGAGATTAACCGTAGACAAAATGTCATTTTAAATTCAGAAAAATGTCCCATAACTTGGCACCAGAAGCGAATTTTCAAAAAATCTCTCGGAAAAAATAACTTCAGATAATAACACATAATATCTGCAAATTTCATGAAAATCCACCCAATAGTCTTCGAGAAATCGCGTGCACAAAATTTGGTGTACGGAAAAATAATAATAATAATAATAATAATAAGAAACAATAGAATCACTATAAGGTCTTCCGTGAAGACGGAAGACCTTAATAAGAAAAAACATATCGTGTCCTGGAATTTAAAAAAAAGTTTTGATTCGGGCCATTTTAGTCCGTCGGTCGGGAGAATGCAACCAAACAATTTTTTAAAGATGGCCCGATCAACATTTTGAAAAAAATATCCAATGCCTCTGGCTAAAAATTGATATAGCTCATTATCATATTTTACGCTTCTTAGTAATAAATAACTAGTCATATCAGGGGTCTATAATAAACGAGGGTTGTCCCAGAAAAACGCGAACATTTTCAATATCTTTTGTTTCACTAGGATAATAATATTAAAGATTGGCAAACATCATCATCAACATTTTTTGAATTATGCCTAAAAAATTTCATTGAAATGCCTGTTTAAATAAAAAGAATAGATGCGTACAAGGCGAGGACAATCCCCCTCTGAGAAGACATTTCTCAATTCTAAAAGATGTATTTTTCAAAAGTATATTGTTTATATAATCTTTTACACATTTAATTCTGTATTCCATTGTTTTAATATTTTATCAATAATTCATTTTTCACTCATGTTTTTAAGATATGGGAAAACAAAAAAGAAAAAGCTTCACGTATGATTCGAACTCTCTTCATAGCGCAGAGTTTGGTCCAAGACCGACTGCTTTAACCCCTACGCTACGAAGTATATGCATTATCGCCGTCTGTCAGTGTGATTTAAATGAACGGGTTAATTGAAGCGTACATTTTTTCAGATTTTTTCGATTTTCATATAGAATGGGTTCAGATTCCATTTTTTGGACGAATGAATTAGATTTCACATTTACTTTTCCATTTATACATTAACGAAGAATGGAGACATGACCCATTCATGTTCAAAATTCATTTTTTTATAGCTCTATCAAATCCATTTTCTACTAAATATTCTTAACAGTCAACTTTGAAATAAGGTTTATCAAATAAAAAGTCGTTCGGTAAAATAAATAAATAAAAAATGTTTTGAAGATGACATTACTGAGAACATGATTTTAGAAAAATATAACTTTTCTGTGAATTTTGAAAATTGAGAAACATTTTGTCTCAGAGCGGGTGATTGTCCACGCCTTATACGCCCTCTTTCTTTCCTCTCAGGTAAACGAATCTAACAAATCAGCTGTTGGCGCAACACTGAGGACGTTGACCAAAATGTATCTCGTAGTGTGGACTTTGTCCTGGAAACTGTGCCTTTAAAACATTCATTGAAGCATACATTCGGTTCTGAATTTTATTTTGTTTTACAAGTTTTACATCTTATATTCTATTGTTACCAAAAAATTGCGAAGTTAATATTTTTAATAGACAATTTCACAATACCGATCATAAACCTAACTGTTCGAATTGTTTAACAGCGGTCTTCACATATGCTTATGACGTCGACGTCCCGCTCTTGTCTTTTTTTCACTTCTTTATTAAAGTGGTCTATTCTCTTCGTTCGGATAACCAGTCAAGTCAACTTAAGAATCCCTTCCACCGGAGATAAACACGTTTCCGATACTTATGCTTGTGTTTTATCATCGTTAACATCCTTTTTCCCTATGAAGAGGAGTCATAGAGTTGCTTGATAACTTGGTGCTCCACATTACCACATTACCATTTCTAACAATGTCTAATTAAAAGTGCCTGGCTCATATTTTCATATATTTGTCCTTCATGATGTCAAATAAATGAATTTTTGAACACGAGTTCACCACATTATAGAGTATTTGTGTAGGTAAAATTTTGACATTATATTGCCGTATAGCCTGATGACAAAGAAACTTCATTGACAATGCTATTTGTACAAAAAAATTGTCGTGCGCCGCTTACCGATATTTAACATCTTATAAATGCTGTTTTTACATGCATATGACATCACAGGCCTATAAAATTTGGTCAAAATATCTAAAAGATGATTTTCCAACAGCTTGCAAAAAATTATTAGTTATGGTTGAATAGTATTTGTAATATTCAAAAAGTTTTCGTTTTTCTGGGGCAACCATCGTACTAAGTTGTCAGTCGATGTTATGGGAATTTTAATGATAATATTTGAAAATGCATGCGTTTAATTTATTTTTATAAATATTTTTTAAAATTCCTTTAACATTTCTACAGGAATCTTAATCATGACCTATACGAGGACAAGGGAAGCTCTTGTACAAACACAATACCAGTACTTGATTTAAGGAAATTATTAGGTTTTGATGTTTGAAAGGAAGTTTTTGGAAAAAATTAAAGGTGTTTGAACACATATAATTAGGAAGTTAATATTTTCTCAAATTTTCGGTATAATATCATGACTTATATATGGGGGCATAAAAAAATAAATAGAATAATTATTATTTTAGTTCAGCTGAGCTAAAAGCTCAAGTGAGCTAAAATTCTGATCACCCGTTGTCTGTCGATCTGTCTAGCTGTCCGTCCGTCTAGTACCGCATGCTTTTCGCATTTTAATCTTCCTCTTTAAACAACTGGGCCAGTTTTAACCAAAGTTACCACAACGCATTCTTTTTGAAGCAAAGAGGACTTTAAATTGTTAAATTGAAGGATCAGGCCTGTCATAAGGAGAGATAATCGAGAATAGACAAAAATAGGGTTGGGTCCTTGAAAAATCTTCTCAAAAAAAGGGGGGCTGCTTTCTAAGCTGAAACGTATGTGAAAGTATCTTGAGGTTGCGTAGCTTCTTTGTTGTTAAAACCATGACCCCCGGGGTAGTGCGGGGACACAATAGGCATTTCACAAAGATTAAATCTAACGAAGAACAGCAGGGCTAAAGTAACTCGGGCAAGCGTTGGTCCATGGGCCTGTTGTTGAAGAATGTTTCGTTAATTTCTAGTATTCGATATCAGATTTACTAAAATTTCAAAGACCAAAAGGATTTATCTTCCGGGTGGAATTTTATCTTTCCTTCAAGCAGTTGTGTCGAAGTCAAGAATACTCTTGGGAGACAAAACGGACCCAATGATCAAATTTGACTTCATCTATTCATATTAAGGATGTGCATTGCAGTATTTTATTCCCCAAGAAGTCATACTAGCATTACATTTTTTTTTTAATATGAGGTTTGAAAAAAAATTTCTATGACCATTCATTCTTTTAACAAAAAGTAACGTCTTTTAAATTAACTGAATCTACGACAATTAACATTGAAATTAGTTCTGTGTTTGTTCGTTTGTTTGTTTCTTTTTTTGGGAGGGGTCCTAGAAAACAAACTTTAAAAATCTCGGTGATAACTAACACACAGCCAAAAGCCGATACAGATCTTAACGAAAACCTAACAAATCGGAAGGTGACACAAGAAGTGCGGATGAGTACTTTCGTTGCACAATGCATCTCGTTTGTACATGTGCGTGATATGCTAAAGTCTACTGCTTGATTAAGGAAAAACCAGCAACTTAGATAAGATAGCCGGTGTTTCTGGTGAAAGTGGTTTTACAAAAATAATAATACTTAAGAGTTTAACAATGACATACAGTTTTAAATTAAAATTGATAATTTTCATAGAATGCTCGACGTATGGGGATTTCTGTTTCATCATGACAGTGTATGGCCTTACTAAAATAATTCGACTAGATTTTATTTCCTGACATTGCATCAACTATAGAACTTGCAAATTGACGATTTTAAACGAAACATTCAGATATTGTTTCTCTTTTAAAAGACCTCAATGCAAACCTGGAGTTGATCCTTACGTCGTGGGTTCGATTCCCACTGTGGGACGTGGAGACCGGCCCTTCGGGGGAAACCATATAAACCGAGGTCCTATGTCGTAGTAGGTGCTGGCACGAAAAAGATCCCTCCCTGCTCTATGACCCTGAGTGCTGAGTATAGGACAAAAATTGCAGCTCTCCACCGGCGAGTGGTGGCGTCTCCATTAGTGAAGAATTTTCGAGAGGGAGGTTAAACAATATACAAACAAACAAAATAAGTTTATTATAATGAAGCATATCATATGGGTTTACCTATCACACGAAATGTTTAAACAATTTATCCTAATAGAAATAGGGTGTTAATTGTCTGATTATCATCAATACAGAACTAGGAAAATGTTTACATCTTTTGGCTGGCATCAACAAAATTACTTCATTAAAGATCACTCTGAATTTACACATAAGTACACAAGAAGTTGATATTAAAAGGATGCTGAAGATCCTCATTGACAACATGAATGTAGTCTCCGGAGACCTAGTCTTTCGGTCATTAGGGGATGCTTTCCCCTCCCAAGCACCTGATCCCACCTCTGGAATTCCCGAGTGAACGTGTTAATTCGCATATTTGTTAAGTTTTAAAAAGATCGCCATATTCACCCTTTTTGTTTAAATTATCTTCAAACATTTTAATTTTTCCTTCATGACTCAAGTTTTGTTTTAAATATTTTTTCCTTTCCTAATTGTGTAATATCCTGTCGATATCTCCCGGAAAAACAGCATCCTTTTCTTACAGATTATTCAAACATTAAAAATTTACTTCCATGTGATGTTAATATACAGCTGAAACTTTCAATAAAATGAAGTTTTTCATAAATTAAACTTAGTATAAATCACAATAAAACAAATATTTATATCATATCTGTAGCCTACACAACACATTCAGAATACTGGAGGTTAAAATGTGAAGTACCTAACAATGATTGATGTTGATTTGTATTATACAGTATCCAAGGATTCAGCAAACCTCGGCTGATTCCGCCACCTTCATCAAGATGAAATACGAATTGTCCGAGGTTTGCCGAGTGAGTATGCCGTGCCAAGTTTCTCTATCCGCAATTTTAAATTCAAAACAACTCCAAAAAAGAAAAAAAAAACAAACAAAATTCAATTTTTCAATAAGAGCTGACAAAAATTTTATTTCATTAGTTATGAAATATAGTGGAAATTTTTCATGGTCATTCGCACAATAGGTGATTTAGTTGAATTTTGGCATTGACACTCATGTTGTTATACTAGTATATCATTAAGACCTTGGTGAATCGAGTCTGTATTACTACAGGTTCGTTTCTTGAGTCTATCATAAAATTCCGTACGAAAGTACTGCGTATATAACTAGTCCAGATATTTAATAACTTTAATTTTCTGCTCATCAAACTCTCCAACCCAAAGGTTTTCGTCACTATCAATGCTGAGAACGAAGGGGTTTTTCAAACTGCAGTTGATGTAGCGTAAGAACTTCCCGTTCCTGTCAATCACGTGGACGCAATCATTGTTGCGATCAACAACAGGAATGCGACAATAGTTGTCGGTATCTATTCCATGTGGATAGAATTCTTTGTAGCTGCGAGAGAGACTTCCGGTGTACCGAAATCGGAATTCCCCGGATTTCTTCGTCACGATGACAGCCGAGGCGTTCCAGTCGAATACACAAATGTCCCCGTTTGCATTTTCGGTGATATACATGTTGTTCCGGCCTGTTGAAAAAAATGGCTTGTTGGTGTCATCATATTGAATCTCTTGCTTCAACTGTTCTCCCAAATATATACCAACTCGGCCCTCTGAATAGTCGTTTCGTCTCATGCAGACCATCAAATCATCGTATGCATTGAAACAAAGGCCATAAGGAATCCAGCCTTTCATGTCAACCAATTTTTGTATGCGTTTTTCTCGGAGTATTTTTACACATTCATCCGTTATGTGAGAAAAAGTCACATCGCCATATTCATTCACAATATCTTTTTGACTATTCCCCGAAATCGCCGTTATGCAATCTAGCAAGTTGCCAAGTCTGTCGAACTGTTTCATTTTTTCATCATCTCCATAGATCCAAACCTTGTCTGTGGACTCGCATCAAATTCCTTTCAATTTTAACAATCCTGTGCTTTTGAGTCGATTGAATTTAGGTTCTTCAATGCAAATTAAACTATATCCATTGCAAAAACCGCAATAAAATTCCATTCAAGAAGGATTAAGCCAGGAACTATATTTTGTGGCGGCAGGTTTTTTAGAAGAAAATTATCAATTTATCCCTTTTGAACTTTAAACGTACTGTTAATTTTAGATTCCTATTTTTTCCATGCTGGTTGCACACAAAGCTGTTTTTTTGCAGTGAACTGTGTTGTACGTGTTCTAAAATATCTATTAAATTATTTCTTATGAATTGTTTTGACGAATTATGACAAATATAGTAAATATATTCTGAAAATCTAGAAAAAAGCTGAGCCAATTTTAACAGAAAATTGACAAATTTTTCGTAATATCTAAAAATTTACATCATATAACCCCACTTTTGTTGTTCTTTTCTGAAAATTGAAGATAATTTTGACCTATTTGTTTAAATTCAGCAGAAGTTTAAGACTTTTAAATAATTTTCTTGCTTATTAAATTTTTAATACCAGAAAAATCACATTTCATGAGTGCAGAAAGGTCAAATAATTGATTATGCGTAGCAATTTGAATTAAATATACTTATAGTTTATTTTGTTCCATGCTTTATTTGGATAGAAATATAAGAGGGAAGACGTTGAAGATGTAATTGTTTTATTAAGACGTATATTTCAGTGCAAAATGGTCATATTTAATGTACTGTAGCGCCAAATGAAGCATATTGACCCCCATATTTTGATTTGATTTTTAATTAAGCTATGTGTGTAGAAATTAAAAATATACTTGACAAAGAAAGTTTAAGACTTTGAATATCAGGATCAAACATCGTTAAGTCATTCTTGATAACAGTTTGCATACATTTTGATATAAAAAAAAACATGGAATTTTGGTTAACTGTAACAGGCAAGACCTGGGGCCCGTTTTACAAAAGAACTTACGACTAAGACCAAAAACTTCAGATTATTGTAAAAGTTTGCAAAATTAATAATTCTCTTTGAAATTGTTTGTGTAAAATATATCTTACAACATTCCTTTTAAAAAGTTTAAATTAGTTTTCGTTATTGTGATTATATAAAAAAGTTATATAAAGAATTAAATTTGGTCTTAAGTCGTAAGTCCTGTTGTAAAACGGGCTGCTGATATCTTAAAATGGGTATTTGTATCACGCAAGATCTGATATCTTACAATGGGTAACTGAATAACTGAGAAGACCTGACATCTTACAATGGATAACTGTAACAGACAAGACCTGACATCTTACAATGGGTAACTGTATAACTGACAAGACCTGACATCTTACAATGGGTAACTCTAACAGACAAGACCTGACATCTTATAATGGGTAACTGTAACAGACAAGACCTAACATCTTATAATGGGTAACTGTAACAGACAAGATCTGACATCTTACAATGGGTAACTGTAACAGACAAGAACTGACATCTTACAATGAGTAACTGTAAGAGACAAGACCTGACATCTTATAATGGGTAATTGTAACAGACAAGACCTGACATCTTACAATGGGTAACTGTAACAGACAAGACCTGACATCTTACAATGGGTAACTGTATAACTGACAAGACCTGACATCTTACAATGGGTAACTGTATAACTGACAAGACCTGACATCTTACAATGGGTTACTGTAAGAGACAAGACCTGACATCTTATAATGGGTAACTGTAACAGGCAAGACCTGGCATCTTACAATGGGTAACTGTAACAGACAAGACCTGACATCTTACAATGGGTAAATGTAACAGACAAGACCTGACATCTTACAATGGGTAACTGTATAATTGACAAGACCTGACATCTTACAATGGGTAACTGTATAACTGACAAGACCTGACATCTTACAATGGGTAACTGTAAAAGACAAGACCTGACATCTTATAATGGGTAAACGTAACAGACAAGACCTGACATCTTACAATGGGTAACTGTAACAGACAAGACCTGACATCTTACAATGGGTAACTGTAACAGACAAGACCTGACATCTTATAATGGGTAAACGTAACAGACAAGATCTGACATCTTATAATGGGTAACTGTAACAGACAAGACCTGACATCTTACAACGGATAACTGTAACAGACAAGACCTGACATCTTACAATGGGTATCTGTAACAGACAAGACCTGACATCTTACAATGGGTAACTGTAACAGAACCTGACATCTTATAATGGGTAACTGTAACAGACAAGACCTGACATCTTATAATGGGTAACTGTAACAGACAAGATCTGACATCTTATAATGGGTAAACGTAACAGACAAGATCTGACATCTTATAATGGGTAACTGTAACAGACAAGACCTAACATCTTATAATGGGTAACTGTAACAGACAAGATCTGACATCTTACAATGGGTAACTGTAACAGACAAGAACTGACATCTTACAATGAGTAACTGTAAGAGACAAGACCTGACATCTTATAATGGGTAATTGTAACAGACAAGACCTGACATCTTACAATAGGTAACTGTAACAGACAAGACCTGACATCTTACAATGGGTAACTGTAACAGACAAGACCTGACATCTTACAATGGGTAACTGTATAACTGACAAGACCTGACATCTTACAATGGGTAACTGTATAACTGACAAGACCTGACATCTTACAATGGGTTACTGTAAGAGACAAGACCTGACATCTTATAATGGGTAACTGTAACAGACAAGATCTGACATCTTACAATGGGTAACTGTAACAGACAAGACCTGACATCTTACAATGGGTAACTGTAACAGACAAGACCTGACATCTTACAATGGGTAACTGTATAATTGACAAGACCTGACATCTTACAATGGGTAACTGTATAACTGACAAGACCTGACATCTTACAATGGGTAACTGTAAAAGACAAGACCTGACATCTTATAATGGGTAAACGTAACAGACAAGACCTGACATCTTACAATGGGTAACTGTAACAGACAAGACCTGACATCTTACAATGGGTAACTGTAACAGACAAGACCTGACATCTTATAATGGGTAAACGTAACAGACAAGATCTGACATCTTATAATGGGTAACTGTAACAGACAAGACCTGACATCTTACAACGGATAACTGTAACAGACAAGACCTGACATCTTACAATGGGTATCTGTAACAGACAAGACCTGACATCTTACAATGGGTAACTGTAACAGAACCTGACATCTTATAATGGGTAACTGTAACAGACAAGACCTGACATCTTATAATGGGTAACTGTAACAGACAAGATCTGACATCTTATAATGGGTAAACGTAACAGACAAGATCTGAACTTATAATGGGTAACTGTAACAGACAAGACCTGACATCTTACAATGGGTAACTGTAACAGACAAGATCTGACATCTTACAATGGGTAACTGTAACAGACAAGACCTGACATCTTACAATGGGTAACTGTAACAGAACCTGACATATTACAATGGGTAACTGTAACAGACAAGACCTGACATCTTACAATGGGTAACAGTAACAGACAAGATCTGATATCTTATAATGGGTAAACGTAAGAGACAAGACCTGACATCTTACAACGGGTAACTGTAACAGAACCTGACATCTTACAATGGGTAACTGTAACAGACAAGACCTGACATCTTACAATGGGTAACTGTAACAGACAAGACCTGACATCTTACAATGGGTAACTGTAAGAGACAAGACCTGACATCTTACAATGGGTAACTGTAAGAGACAAGACCTGACATCTTATAATGGGTAAACGTAACAGACAAGATCTGACATCTTATAATTGGTAACTGTAACAGACAAGATCTGACATCTTATAATGGGTAAATGTAACAGACGAGATCTGACATCTTATAATGGGTAACTGTAAGAGACAAGATCTGACATCTTACAATGGGTAACTGTAAGAGACAAGACCTGACATCTTACAATGGGTAACTGTAACAGACAAGACCTGACATCTTATAATGGGTAAACGTAACAGACAAGATCTGACATCTTATAATTGGTAACTGTAACAGACAAGATCTGACATCTTATAATGGGTAAATGTAACAGACAAGACCTGATATCTTACAATGGGTAACAGTAAGCCTTTTATAACTTAACAACAAAATTTGGATTCAAGCCATGAAAATAAACAGCTTTCCATTTTTATAAATGATCTCTGGGCGTCATGGAATTTTAAGTACTTATCGAGTATTGCTCTCAAAGTCTAAAAAGTTAAAGTAATTTGTCCAAAATCCCGTGCGTGAAAAGAAGAAAACACTTGCTCTGGCCTTCAACGCGACATTTAGATACATCGATGACGTATTGTCAATTGAAATGGTAATTTCCATTCTTGTGTCGATACGATATATCCCGGTGAGTTTGTGATTAAAGATGCCAAGAGTCAGACACATCTGTTTCATATTTGGATATTTTACTTGAAAAAGACGTTAATGGTAATCTAACAACCAAGCACAGGCACTTGTTTTGGGAATATATCTTAACCCATAGTATAATAATAACACAAGGTATCTAACTCCAAATTACACGGAGTACCCCCTCCCTTAGAATCACACTCATTTACACTTTCAGAGAAAAGGCAGTGGCAAGCTGTTTATACCTATGCCATCTACGATAATTTATCTACACAACTATATATGACTTGCTTGGCTTTAATTTGTTTTCTTTAATCTCCGTAAACAGCGTCAAAACTCTACTCGCCGAGTAGAAAAGTCGAACTATACCATAAAACGGTATGTGCTAATCTCAGGCAAAAAGAAAAATTAAAGAATGCGTGGGTTTAAAAATTCAATTCCAGATTTTATATATTGTATTGAATAAATAAAATTTCATAGTGTCTTATTTACAATAAAAACACTACGATGTTTTTCCTATGAAATTTCAGAAACAGATTTTTAGCCAATCAAATTCGAGGTCTAATTGTTTGCCCGAGACTAGAGCATACCATTCCATAGCTGAGTTTTACTTTCCACTCGGCGAGCAGAGTTTTGAAGCTGATTACGGAGATAAAAGAAAATAAAGACAAGCATGTCAGATATGGTTGTGTAGATAAATTATCGTAGAAGACATAGGTATAAACAGTTAACCCGTGCATTTCCTCTGAAAGTGTAAATGAGCGCGATTCTAAGGGAGGGGGTACTCGGTGTAAATTGGAGTTAGATACCTTGTGTTATCCTTATACTTTGGGTCAAAAATTTATTACAGAAACAAGTGCCTGTGCAACCAAGCTCTATATCGTGATGACTTTAACTTTTCTGTCGTCAACTTCCTTTACTTATGCAGCAATATACCTTCATCACCTGCATACGTAGTTTATATATCTCAGTTGATTCGATACGCAAGAGCATGTTCCTCGTATGAACAATTTCTAAAACGAGGTAATTTATTGACGATTTGGTTAAACAAGAATATCAGCAGCCTCGTTTAAAGTCATCATTTCGTAAGTTCTATGGTTGATACAATGACCTCGACAGCAAAAACAATTTATCATTGAGACAAATACTGAGTGACGTTTTTCAAACTAATTGTTAGTCCATCATTCATACACTGAACTGACGACAGATTCTTCTGTTATTTCCCGATCATGACAAGGTAATCACAGCGGGTGTGACCGGTCGGCAGGGGATGCTTATTCCTCCGTGGCACCTGATCCCACCTCTGGTGTTCTTGAAGGTCCGTGTTTGCTCTGCTACTAATTTGTATTGTTTTATAGACTTTTGATATGGAATACTGTTCGTTATCTCCAAGTTTCATCCTACAATGGGTAACTGTAACAGGCAAGACCTCTCATCTTACATTTGGTAACTGTAACAGGCAAGACCTCACATCTTACATTTGGTAACTGTAACATGCAAGAACATGCAACTGACATCCTACAATGGGTAACTGTAACAGGCAAGAACTGACATCCTACAATGGGTAACTGTAACAGACAAGACCTCTCATCTTACATTTGGTAACTGTAACAGGCAAGACCTCACATCTTACATTTGGTAACTGTAACATGCAAGAACATGCAACTGACATCCTACAATGGGTAACTGTAACAGGCAAGAACTGGCATCCTACAATGGGTAACTGTAACACCTGATATCTTACAATGGGTATACAGTACAACTGTAACAGACAATAACTGACACCTTGTATGTACAAAGCGTACCTGTATCAGCTGAAAACTGACAACTAACAACGTTACCTGTAACAGGTAAGAGCAGAGAGCTTACAGTGGTACCTGTAACATGACAACTTTTCACCGAAACAATAAAAATCACTGAACAGGACATAAATTATAGACACACTGTGATAAATAAAATAAAAATAAATTAACAGGACATAAATTATAGACACACAGTGATAGAAAAATAAAAATAAATTAACAGAACATAAATTATAGACACACAGTGATAGAAAAATAAAAATAATTAACAGGACATAAATTATAGACACAGTGATAAATAAAATAAAAATAAATTAACAGGACATAAATTATAGACACACTGTGATAGAAAAATAAAAAAAACTGAACTGGACTTAAATCATAGACACACAGTGATATCGTCGGAAACCCACGAGTAATTACGTTCTGCGCCTCTCTCCATCACCCATATGATGGAGAGAGGAAGGAAGCGTATTCAGTCCTGGATTTCCGACGATGCACAGTGATAGATAAACTAAAAATCACTGAACAGGACATAAAACATACACACATACACACACCAATATACAATATATAAAATGAAACTCACAGATAAACTTTCAAATTTACTATATTATAAAAAAGTTATTTTTTATATAAAAATGTTAATGTTTCTCTGTCTTTACTTTATAGAATAGATAAAGTTTAAGTTGAACAAGTATCGTAAATACGCGTACGCCATTTTAGATTTTACTATCTACGATATCAGCACCATTGTACACTCTTCGCATTCGTTAATTGTCACAGGTGTCGGCATTAAATGGCGACCCGTGGTCGTGCTGGTCATCTTGCATTACCTTTCTTGACACTGCAGATGCGTGTATTTGCGTTTGTTTGTATGTTGCACTAATTTGTGCAACTGTTAAAAGTCCCTTTGGTATTTTACTCTCCTGCATTTGAAGAACTAATTCTGTCGCTATCGAGTGCTGTATGGCATACGTCCATCTATACTGGTGACGATTGATTACACTGAACAGTGACAAAGTGTTAAGTGTGCAGCTCTATACATAGTGGCCGTCAGATATAGTAAGAGACTAAACGAATATAGTGGACAAATTCTTTTTACAAATCCTGTTCAATTTTAATGATAAACGATGCAAAGAAAAATTGAAGCCTGGATTTGTACATGTATAAATTACCTTCACCTATTTAAACTGTAAATGATTAAAAAAAAAATCTAAAATATAAAGAAAATGTAAACTTTTTACGATGTTCAAACTTAACTTCATCCTGCAACCAACCTAAATAGTCTTTACATTTCTTTGTAACTTTAAATTCCATTATTGAGAAACTTCAAATAAAAAAAAAATGAAAATTCATACGGTTAAATTTATTCATCAAACTTATATAGATATGACTTAAGTTGTATAATATAATATGCAAGATTTTTGATAAAGTTTGTTTGTATCATCTGTATTAAATTGCTCTCTAAAGGCCCCCAGTTAAGTGCAATAGTGAAAATTACCACAAAGACGTGTATACATTTAACGCTTACATCTCACTATATAAAGAAATGTAACCCCTACTCATTTCGAAAACATCTTATGAAAATGAATACACTTGTGTGCATACATGCATTTAAACTAAAAATAGTCTAGGGATGGCAATTTATAACCGGTTAACCGATTAATCGTTTGGAACGATGGCAATCGGTTAGTCGGAAAAAAATAAAATTTACATAAATTTTAACCCAATTTTGATAGAAAATTCATTTTAAAAAAAATAAAGAAATACTTGCATAAGCGTTGATAATTAAGCGTTGTCATATGGGTGTAATTGTGGTTCTCCGGATTGAGATTGTACGGTAATTGGTCATTTTGTGTTTGAAGTGTTAATTATACTGTTAGAACACCAAGTCGTTACCCCCGACTGTCATGTATTTCTTTAATGATAATTAAATCAGCGTTTATAACTGCGAATTAGTATGTTTGTTTTTTTTTTTTTTTTTTGGCAGTTATTCTATCGAATAAATTACTAAACAAACTTTGCAAATTAAGTGATGTATTTCAGACTTAGTTTTAATTATGGTGACAACGCAGAATGAACGTATGTGAGATCTACATTGGAATAATACAGGGATGGGGTCAATTACTTTAAAAAGTAATTAATTAAATTACAATTACTTAGACTTTTTCTTCAATTAAATTACAATTAAATTACAGGCTTTCTAAGACATGTAATTAACTAAATTACAATTACTTTACAAAAGTAATTGATTAAATTACAAATTATATTTTCAATTTTTTGAATTTTTTATAATCATATGAATATACAGAACAGGGATCATTCACTTCTATATAAGCACAGCCTCTGCACAAACAATACAAGAAATAATATGCTAGTAGGCATTGTGTATCTTTGTAGTTTAAATCATTACTTTTATTTACAAAACAGTAAAGAACTATTCCAGAACAGTTTGATGCAATTGCCTCCACACAAAACCTACATGTACACAAATTGCATGGGTTATGATATTTGATTAACAGGATTTTTAATAGAGTAAAATAAATCGTAACCCCTCAAATTAAATATTTCTTTAAAGGTAACCTTTACATCCTAAATTGCTTCTTATGTTGAACATTTTTACTTTTTTATATAATACTTGTACAAAACATATCTTTTTCAAATACTAAATTCATTCAATAAATTTTATTTAGATGTTAAAATAATTATCAAATTGAAAGATTTTCTTTTCTCAAACTAGCGGAGCATTTTTAATCGAAATAATTATCCCCATGCATTAGCTTTGTCATCATAATCATGGATACGTCTTTAGAGGGATTGATTTGTTTTGATTGCAATTTACAGCTGTGATCTAGAGGGCAATTATCTCTTAATACCAACAAGAGAGAACTTCATTAATGACACACACATTCCTTTTTTTTCTTGACACACACATTCTTATTCTACTACATTGATCAAATAACAGAGATTGAAATATGATAAATTATGAGTGTTTCATAGCTGAATAGACTTATTAAAGAATGGTGGTGCAAAATTTAGATAACCATATAAGAAAAAAATCTAATTTTATATAATGATTAGAAAGAAACTACATTATAATCATAAAATAAACTGTCTTCTGTATAATTAAAGGACCAAGGATATGGTTTGCAATAAATAAAAGAGAGTAAAAGGGGGAGGTCATGGTGACAATATATCATGCGTGTGTATTATATAAAGTAATTGAATGTAATTTAAAAGTAATTGAAATTACATGGTATTTTTTCAGTGTAATTAATTAAAATACAAGTAATTGCACAAATGTTCAATTACAAATTATATCCAATTACTTCAAAAAATGTAATTAATTACAGTCAATTACAATTACTTTTTTCAATTACCCCATCCTTGGAATAATATCAATCATTCGTGTTTTTCTTTTATTTTTTCACAGTCTATATTTAAACTTAAGTTATATTTAGAGTACGAGTTTCCTACTGTATCGGAGATACAGGGCGGGACTTGAGGCGAGAGCGATAGCTCGAGCCGGGCCCTGCCCTGTATCTCTGATACAGTGGAAACGAGTATTCTAAATGACTTGTGACATGACCTTTCTAATGACCTCACTAATTTACATTCGTGTTTGGGTAATATCTCTCAACCAATCAGATGATTTTGGCAGAAAGTTGATTTAGTATCCCATTTTAAGCATTCGCAACTGAAATGCCGAGTGGGGTGGACGTGCAGGTATTCCCGGTATAGCTATTTACAGATGTACATGTACTATTATCTTAAAATTGTGACATGACCCAGGGGCGGATACAGGATTTGTGGTTAGGGGGGGGGGGCGTGAATAACTTTGTTGAGGCAAGGGGTCTGGGGGCCGCCTTAAGGGCCCCAGTGGGTCCAGGGCGAACCCCTGGTGGGGGCCCAGGGGGCGAAGCCCCCGGAAGCTCCTGGGTTTTCGTGTATTTTAGAGTAAAACCAGGCAGTATAATAGTGCATATTTTTCATTTTTTTTGTTAAAAGTGGCATATAGGTTCGGATGTTTGAATGATAATATTGTATTGAATGTTTCTCAGTTCTCATTGTATTGTAACACATGCCACCATAATAAACGATTTACCTACTTAGTACTTACTAATAGTGGTATTGGTTAGTGATGTAGCAAAGTACGCCGTGTTTATCACTAGTTATTTCATACTTTGAATGGGGGGACCAGGGGGCGCAGCCCCCGGAAGCTCCTGGATTTTTGTGTATTTTAAGAGTAAAACCAGGCAGAATAACAGTGGTTTGGTTGGTCTTGTACCAAAATGTGGCATTATAAATATTAGTCACATCATACTTTGAAAATTTTAGGGGGGCGTGCGCCCCCCACGCCCCCCCTTAAATCCGCCAGTATGACCCGGCGAGTTTTCATTTGAAGTCAGGCGTACTGTAACTGCGATATAGAACACTTTTTGTGGGCGTTTCTTATGCAAATGAGCAGAAACTGTACTGTATCTGCAAAAAATCAACGATACAGTACGGTTTATTTTTAGCGATAACGGAAAGCTGTATCCGTAACGAGACACAATAATCGTTCAATTCGCATAATAGCACCGTTATTATTTACTCAAAATTTGAGGTGAATTAATAATAAAATTTTACAATATAAAGTTATGAATGTCGGGTTCAAAATTTTTAGAAAGGATGGAGTGGGGCAGTTCACAAATGATTACTTTGCCCCCCCCCCCCCCCCCCAAAAAAAAAGGGAAATCTGATTTCGTGGGGGTAGATTTATAATCAACCAAGACACTTTGTGCGTGATATCGTTACTTGTTGTTAAATTAAAAAGCGTATGTATACAAGTTTAGCAACAATAATTTACGAAAGCGATTTAAAAAGAAAAAAACCCAAAGGAGGATGGGATTGGTGCACCATGGAGTGCTGGATCCCCCTTTGGTTACTCTACATTTTATTCAAAACATGAAGGTAAAATCCCCACCCTTTCATCTGTTTATTTTAATTTTTTGAATGACGACCGGTGGAGGACAGAATACGATCTGCCCGAAGATTTTTTTTTATTTCAAAAATATTCCCACACCACATGATTGTTATATATCAAAATGTTTTGCATTAAATCGTTGCTTAAGTCAGCAAGAGCTGAATAGAGAAAAAAAAAACCCTACGCAATCAAATCTAAATTAATACTTAGTTTTTTGGAAAACAAATTGCATCATCTGATTGGTTGAGAGATATGTATATACTCAAATACGCTTGTAAAGTAATGAGATCATTAGAAAGGTCATATCACAAGTCATTTAGAATACTCGTTTCCTACTGTATTGGAGATACAGGGCGGGGCCCGGTTCAAGCTATCGCTCTCGCCTCAAGCCCCGCCCTGTATCTCCGATACAGTAGGAAACGAGTATTCTAAATGACTTGTGATATGACCTTTCTCTATTCAGCCCTTGCTGACATTTATTTTTTAAATTTAAGCTACGAATTAATGCAAATAAATTTAATATATAAGAATCATATTTTTGAAACAAAATGCTTCGGGGATATCTTATTCTGAGAGAAATGCCCGACAATGTCCTCCACCAGTCGTCATATACAAAATTGAAATGAACAGATGAAAGGAGGGGAGAGGTATTTTACTTTCATGTGTTTAAAAAATGTAGAGAAACCAAAGGAGGATCCAGTACTCACAGGTGTCCCCCAACTTTAGGTTTTTTTTTCTTTCTTCATTTTTGTAAATTAATTTTGCTAAACTTATATACATACGCTTTTTAATTTATCAACAAGTAACGATTTCACGCACGTAGTGTCTTGGTTGGATTATAAACCTACCCCCCCCCCCCCACCCCCGAAATACGATTTTCCATTTTTTTTTGGGGGGGGGGGTCAAAGTAATCGTTTTTGAACTGCCCCACTCCCTCCTTTCTAAATTTTTTGAATCCGACACTCATAACTTTACGTTGTAAAATTTTATTCTTAATTAAATCACCTCAAATTTTGAGTAATTAATAACAGTGCTATTATGCGAATTGAACGATTCTTGTGTCTTAATATGGTTCCATACCGCTTTCCGTCATCGCTAAAAATTAACCGTACTGTATCGTTGATATTTTGCAGATACAGTACAGTTTCTGTTCATTTGCATAAGAAACGCCCACAAAAAGTGTTCTGTATCGCAGTTACAGTATGCTTGACTTCAAAGGAAAACTCGCCGAGTCATGTCACAACCAAATATAATTCAAGATATCAATTTCGTTTCCTGCACTTATGATCTCCTCCTGTTGCTTTCGATGAAATTTCCTGATACAGACTTAATACTAATAACACTTGAACTTTGGCTAAAAAAAATTTCGAACTAAGGGAATAGGTTTTTTTTCCTTTAATATGAAGCAAACCTTTTTACATAATCGGAAAGGTATAAAAGTGATGATTGCAAAGAATGCTTTTTGGCATTTATAACGAAATAACTGGTACGATTAATCATCTACTCCCCGCCCCTCTATTCAACCAAATTTTTATTCCTGAGAAAATGACGTGTAGGCTACAGCCTTTTTGCCTATATGGAATATATGCCACTGAATGTACCAAATCCTAGAAACGGAATTTTTTGGGGGTACCTACTAGTTAAAATGTCTGTGTAAATGTTATATATATACAGCTGAAACTTTCAATGAAATGAATTTTGTCAAAAATTAAACTTAGTTTATACAGTTCTTTTGTATAAACTACAATAAAACAAATATTTATATCCATATCTGTAGCCTACAGTGCACATTCAGAATACTGGAGGTTAAAATGTGAAGTACCTAACAATGAAGTACAAATTGGTCGAGGTTTGCCGAGTGGGTATGCTGTGTCAAGCTTCTCTATCAGCAAATTTATATTAAAAACAACTTTAATCCAATTTTTCAATAAGAGATGACAAAAATGTTCTTTCCACTAGTTAAGAAATATAGTGAAAATTTTCATGGTCATTCGCACAATAGGTTAAGCATTGATTCTAATGTTGTTATACTAGTATATTATATAACTTTGTGAAATCCGATAATCTGATTGGTCAATACGAAGTACTTATTTTTTAATAACGACCGCTGAAAGCGAATAATGACTCGCACGAGCTGCCTCGTTTTCACTTTCGCTTTAGACAAACATGGAAGTTCGCAAGTTGTAGGTAAGAAAAATTTAAAAGACACAGTGAAGAACTCTGAGGCTGATAATACAAAACAATTACAAGGATATCTGTCGCTATTTTTCGGGAATACTTAGCACATACCATTTCATGGTTGAGTTCAACTTTTCCACTCGGCGAGCAATATGATAATGATATGGGTTAAAATTTATTACCGAAACAATTTCCTCTGAGTGATATTCAATGAATTCTGAAACATTTACATTCAACTTATTTATGGTTAATACTATCTCTGTAAACATAAGGAAGATATACATTGCACTAAAAAAATTTTGGAAATTACTATTTATATAATATAATAAATATGGACTCAATGCACGGTCAATATGCATTTATAATGACCCAGGAAGACAGATATTGACCTCAGATACATGAAGTATATCGACCTCGGGCTAGCGCCCTCGGTCGATATACTACAGGTATCTTCGGTCAATATCTGTCATCCTGGGTCATTATAAATGCATATTGACCTACATTGAGTCCATATTTGTATAATATCATTAAGACCTATGGTGAAGAAGGCAATCGAGTCTGCATTTCTACAGGTTCGTTTCGTGAGTCTATCAATAATCATTTATTCCTTAAGAAAGTACAGAGTGTATAACTAGTCCAGATACTTAATAACTTTAATATTCTGCTCATCACACTCTCCAACCCAGAGGTTTTCGTCACTATCAATGCTGAGAACGAAGGGGTCTTTCAAACTGCAGTTGATGTAGCGTAAGAACTTCCCGTTCCTGTCGATCACGTGGACACAATCATTGTTGCGATCAACAACAAGTATACGACAGTAGTTGTCGGTGTCTATTCCATGTGGATAGAATTCTTTGTAGCTGCGAGAGAGACTTCCGGTGTAACGAAATCGGAATTCCCCGGACTTTTTGGTCACGATGACAGCTGAAGCGTTCCAGTCTGACACACAAATGTCCCCGTTTCCATTTTCGGTGATATACATGTTGTTCCGGCCTGTTGAAAATAGTGGCTTGTTGGTGTCATCATATTGAATCTCTTGCTTCAACTGTTCTCCCAAATATATACCAACTCGGCTCTCTGAATAGTCGTTTCGTCTCATGCAGACCATCAAATCATCGTCTGCATTGAAACAAAGGCCATACGGTATCCAGCCAGTCATGTTAACCAATTTTTGTATGCGCTTTTCTCTGAGTATTTTCACACATTCATCTGTTATGTGAGAAAAAGCCACATCGCCATTTTTATTCACAGCAATATCTTTCTGACTATTCCCCGAAGTCGCCGTTATGCAATCTAGCAGGTTGCCAAGTTTGTCGAACTGTTTCATTTTTTCGTCATCTCCATAGATCCAAACCTTGTCTGTGGACTCGCAGCAAATTCCTTTCAATTTTACGCTGTTGACTCTAAAGGTAGCTAAGAGTTCCTCTTTCTCAAGTAACACCCGAGCAGATATGGAGAAATCGCGGCCATCTTTGGTGATAGCAAACCCACGGAGAGTGACTCGGGTGGAAGGTGTGACAGTCACAAGCTGTCGCATGATTTCTTCTTCTTCAATATCCAGAGGAGCGATTTTTGCTGGGTTGATTTCTGTTCTGTTGGGAACAAGTCGCAATTCATCAACCCTAGACTCATATCTTAGAATGTTCAAAACATCTTCATCTTTTAAAAGGTTTTCATTTCTCTTTATTAATTTGTCCACATTCTGCAAGGTGGTGCGGATTTCATCAACATTATCCTGCATGATGTTCTTGTCTTCTTTTGTTCTGTCAGTTATGTCCTTTTCCATTCTGTCTATAGCTTTATCTATGATGTCATGCCATTTCCCTCCCAATTTCTGTAAAAAAATTCTTCCTTGTTCACTGTCTTGCATATACGTCAACAATCCGTCTTCAATTTCTTTAAGGACCTTTTCATATTCTTCTTTAAAGTGTCTTAATTCCTGCAAGTCCTCGCTGACAGCGCTCCGAGTTGTTTTATAAATTTCGGATAATTCCTCGGCGCTATGTCGTTTGTGATTTTTCAGCAGACAATGCGAACATATAGGAACGTGACAGTCCTGACAGTAGAGGTCACAGATTTTTTTGGGATGATCCTTGCAAAAATTTCCAACTCCTTCTGGAGAAGCCGCTCTCTGTGTATACGGTATGAGATCATGGTTTTTTAGAGTCGAACTTTTCTGCACATGGTGGCTTATACACTGCTCACAGAGGTTTACATTGCAACTTCTGCAGTGCATGGCAACAGCGTTACTGCACAGAGAGCAGCGTATGACATCCTGCGCCATCTTCTCCTGATCATCACTGCTAATCATCTTCACTATATCTTAAAAAGAAGGAGGACTCAGTATTATCAGAAATTACGTACTGAATAACTTCAATAAGCAATAACCAGTTAACTATGTAATAAATGGAATGTTTAGCGCTCTCAGTAATTTTTTTTAACGATAAATCTAACATCACTCAGAAACAGTCTTATTTTTTTAAAGTACCAATTTTATTCATTTCCATAATGTTCATTTGAAACGTTTTTGATCTGACCTTTCTTAAATGTTCACATATATTTTCTTGTTGAACTTTTTTATATATAACTTCCTTGTATTTAATGTTATTTGAAAATTAATATTTATCTTAAGAAGAACAGATTATTAAATTGGTCGAATTCTAATTAATTAAGCTCGATTCAAGATGACAATCGGGGATCATACCTTTCACTACACTCTTTAATACAAAATACCTTCTGTACTCACCTAGAATTGGTCACCTCGACCTGATAACATGTTAGAATGCTGTTTGACTGTGCTGTGTGTGTCGATGCGGATGTACATACATGTTCAGCTGTATCATACAGATGCGTTTTTTTTCCAGCTCGTTTTATAGCATAATCTAAAACGAAGACATGTCTTCATTCTCTGATCTGCTTCAAGAAGAGAGAAACACATTTGCCCAAAACACGCAAAATACTAAATAGTTGTAAAACTGTCTTGTTGAAATACAAAACACTGCTTTTTTTAAATTCGGAAATGCATGTCGTATGCGGGTCACTTTCAAAAAATTTCACTTTTTTGTCTTTTGATCAGAATGATAGGAAAAATATTCTTTAATGTGAAATTGTTTTTCCCGTTGGTTAATATACATGGTCATACAGCTTATATGTTATTTTATTTCATCTCTCAGACCTGTGTTTTATAAAAAAATATATATATATATATATATATATATATATATATATATATATATATATATATATATATATATATATATATATATATATATATATATATATATATACACTAGACAAAATTGCTAACGCACCATTTGTTAGTTCTTATTTGTGAATTGATAATTTGCCGAGTGGGTACTAGTGTATATAATATGCCATTATTTCTAAAACAGTGGGATTGACAAATGTCTTGGTATCATGAAAAGACCCTTGAATGACCTTCTTGTCCAAAAACCAATTTCCAGATGTGCACTGCGCACCATTTTTGCCCAGATATGAAATTCTTGACCACTAACGGTGGTTTGTGAAGATGCCACAGGAGTAGTTTCCCAGTTATAAATTAAATTATAAACAATCATTGACTCTCACATCGTCTAGTAATCATCCGGTGCCTCAATATCCATACCAAATCCACTCAACTTCCGGTTGACCTAGTTTTGTGGAACAATTTTTGTTATTGTATGCTGCTTACTTAAAGTCGTGGCTACCTATAGTAAACATTTTTATGGTTGTTAATCTATCTGTAACAATTTATCATAAGTGGAATTCATTTTCTTTTTATTGTTTTCATTTTTTACAGATTTTTCTAAAGGAATCCCTGCAGACGCCTTACTGTGTGCTTTAGCACGCTCTTCAAGCGTCAAATGCCACATACGCTGTAACTTTTTTTCTGAGTTTTTAATTAGTACAAATGTGAAGAACACAAATACAAAGAAAAAATTGGATTTTTTTTCTTCGAAAATGGAATAGACACGATTTTATTTTTTTCTATGAATTGGTCACACTTCAGTAAACATTGTACTTATTTATAAGGTTTGACATTTATATGCCTTACTTTTTGTTAAAGTAGCATATTTATATATCAAATACATCATAAACAGTTTTTTAAAAGTATAATATTAACTCTCCTAGGTGGTGCGTTAGCAAATTTGTCTAATGTATATATATATATATATATATATATATATATATATATATATATATATATATATATATATATATATATATATATATATAGAGCACTAAAAATGACCAACGACACGAACAATAAAAATTGTCAAATTTTCGGGACGCCCTGTCCCTTCCTCAGGACAAAGAAAAAAGTTAAAAAGTCATAAGAACAAAGGAAAAAGAGAAACAAAAACAACTAGCACTACTACTAAACTACTAAACACTAGATATTTACATACTTAATTACATGTTGAGTTGGAAAATTTAAAGAACACTAATAAAGAAAGAAATTCGGACCGCTATGAAATGCGTCCGGTCTATCGGGTATACTCGGGTGAAGTGCGATTTACATAATTGAACGAATTAATTATGCTAATTAATTACGACAATCAGTAAATCGTACGTTATTTCATTCTCTCAAAATGGCGTAACTTTACTTAATAAAGAATAATGAAAGAAAAATCATATAGTAGGAATATTTAAACATATGAATTGTGATCACTAATAAATTTTGAAATATTTAAGGACTTATTATCGGGAAAAAATAATTAACGAAGGCGTAAGCAATACTTAGTTATGTGGTTGTTCGAGTTCGAGAGTTGGTGGCACAAATTAACTGTAGAGTTTACACTAAATTGAGAGAATAATTTTGTTTAGTATGATCAGGAATTGGGTCTAATTTACGTTCATTCTGGTGAAGTCATTCAACTTGTTAATACCATTTGGGCGGAATGACTTCAATCTGTGCATCCAGAACTTTTCTTTGCTTTTCCTCTGAGCATCTGTCCATCTTGGGTTATGGTCAATCACCACTACTGTCATGTCCTCCCATTTGTGACCCTCAAGGTTGAAATGTTCCCCAACGGGTTCATTGAGTTTTTTGGTCCTAATGGTCGAACGGTGGTTATTGACTCTCCTACGGAGATCTCCTGTTTCACCAACATACTGTTTGGAGCAAACTTTGCAAGTGATGAGATAAATGCAGTTGTCAGTATGACAGGACAAATTCCCTAGTATTTTGTAGCTGCGACCTGTAACAGGGCTGTTAAAACTGTCTGTGCCAGTGCTGTGCTTACAAAGAAGACATCTCCTGTCAGAGCAAGTTTTAAAGCCCCCGTTAGGTAATGGGTTGTCCAGTCTGGTTCTTACTACCATGTCCTTTAGATTCCTTGGGCGTCTGTATGCAGCCAATGGGGGTTCCTTAAAGACCTCTGCCATTCGTTTGTTTGAATGGAGAATTGGTAGGTTCTTTTGAAGGATACCGCTAAGGTTCTTAAGGACGGGATGGTATGTGGTTACCAGAGGGACCCTGTCGCTATTGTCTTTTTCCTTGTAGCGTAATAGGTTTTGTCTGTCATGTTCCGCCATCTCATCAATAGCTGTTTGTATGGTGCGGGCATTGTAGCCTCTTTTGCATAAGTGGGACTTAAGAAGATCACTTTGCTCCTGATATAAGGCAGGGGACGAACAGATGCGTCGAATTCTGGTGGCTAGACCCTTAGGCACTCCCTTAAAAGTGTGTGGGGGATGACAGCTAGTGGGCATAAGATATAGGTGGGAGTCTGTGGGTTTGGTGTGGAGACTGAATTCGATTTCACCATCAATCAGGGTAGATGTAGTATCTAGGAATACGTTTTTCGAATTAGATACGTCTACTGTAAATTTGATCGACTGATGAAAGGTGTTGGCAAACGTAATGAATGCCTCGAGGTTCTCGCGACAATCCACCCACTTCATCTCTATATCGTCAATGAAACGCAACCAGCTATGAGGCCTAAATGGTGCTTGAAGTAACAAGTTGCGTTCCAGTCTGCCCATGAAGACATTGGCATAAGAAGGTGCCATTTTCGTACCCATAGCAGTGCCATTAACTTGCAGGTAATGTTCTCCATTAAACATGAAGTTGTTGAACTTGAGAACATGTTCAAGGAGCTTAGCAAGGGACTCCGTAGAAGGAACTTGTATGGATCTACTATCCCAGACTTCTCTACAGGCTTCGATACCCTCATCGTGCGGAATATTGGTGTACAAAGATGTGACGTCCATAGTCACGAGGAGGGTATGATCTGGGAGGCCAGTAGAGGGCGTCTTGTTAATGTAGTCCGTAGTGTCCTTAAGATAGGATGGCAAACTTTCTACGTGTGGACGGAGATGTAAATCAATGAATTCAGAAATTTTCTCCGTGGGGTGTCCAATTGCGCTGACTATGGGGCGACCTGGCATGCCTTCTTTGTGTATTTTAGGAAGCAGATAGAATTGTCCTGGTCTACAGGCAATAGGATTTAAGGTCTCAAAGACGTTGATACCAATCTCATTTTTCTCAAACATATCGTCCAGAGTTTTGGTAATGGCGGTTGAGAATTCTTTAGTAGGGTCAGAGTCCAGTTTCTTATAGAAACGTTCGTCTGAGAGTTGTCTTTGGGCCTCCGCCATGTAAGTCTCTTTATCCATTACTACAACTGTAGAGCCTTTGTCTGCTTTCTTAATTACAATGTCATCCCGATTTTTTAATGATTGTAAGGCAGATCTCTCCTCCTTACTCAAATTGTCGGGAGTTTTGTCTGGCATTGAAAGGAGCTTCTCTATGTCTGACTCAACGGCATCAATATACGACTCAAGCGCGCCGCACTTGCCAGGTGTAGGTTCCCAGGCACTCTTTGGCTTATAGAGTTTGTGTTCCTCTAGGTCCTGTAAATCTGGCTTGGAAGAGTCGTATGAATTTGCTTCGGAGTCTTTTCTAGAGAAGTGCTCCTTCAAGCGAAGTCTCCGAAAGAATGCTCGGGTGTCCTCTCTGACTTGTTTTTCGTCGACCTCATGTGGCGTGGGGCAGAAATTTAGCCCCTTTGAAAGAAGTGAGGTCTCCGATTCGGAGAGAGGAGCACTAGATGTATTGAGCACTGGGCAGACGTCAGGAGTTTGTATGGGTCCGTCCCTCGGGATTGTCTTAATGCGTTTGAAGCGTCTCGAGCGGGGTTTGCGTGTTTTATTAACTCTGACCTCTGACCAGTTGTTCCTAGACCGTGGAACACTGTCGCGGAGAAATTTCTTCTTCTGAGTCTTGTTGACTTTATTTGTTAGGGCCATATTATAGGTCTCTATAATATTATGGGCTTCACCAAGATCGGCCTGGGACATAATATCGTTGAGGGATGATTCTAAGGACTCGATCTCACTCTTCAATTGTCCTAACTTGTGGATATCCCAAGAAAGACAGAGTGACATCAATTGTTTAGAACATCTCCTTGTTATAACGTCCCAGCGTTCCTGAAAGCGTTTGGAGATTGGCCCTATGTTAGGTGTAACATTTATCTGAAAGCCTTTCGGTATAATGTCACACTCTAAGTAGGTCTGTAAATTGGAGACCCGGTGTTCAGTTTTTATAGATTTTTGGTGTTCTTTCTTTAGAAGTTTAAATGTTGGGTTATCTTTAATAGACATATTTGAAAGGAAATTACAATTGCCAAAATGATAAGACTACTTTTAAGTTTTAGTCGTATGAAGTCGAAAGATTCAACGAACGATTGTTCTGTATTGTAACGGATTTCGTAGATAACTCGTGCACGAATTCAAAAATATTAAAAACAAACGGTACGTGAGTAAAAATCGAAAGGGAAAAGCGGAAAGATCTTATTTGCAAAGGTTGGAAACAAGATAAATAGTAAAAAAAGTCAAATGATGAAAGAAAACC